GTTTAGAATTCAAAAATTATTATTAAATTGCATTGCTTTTACCAGCGTTGGTTTGGTTGCTCATAGAGAATAACATCTTTATTTCGGAATTACTACTCTTAATAAATACACTTGCATATTAAGTAAATCATATCTCAAAGCATACTGGGGCACTGGTGATTTTTATTGGGACAAGTGCCCCAGTAAATTGGGTCTTATGTCCCCTTCTTATGTCCGATAAGGCATTCACCTATCAATTTGTGCACTCAGGGACACCTGAAAACTCAGTGAAAACTTTCTAGAAAAAGACATACTGATTTCAGGCAAACTACTAACATTATATATAAAGTTCTGCAATCTGCATGGAAATATTCAAGACGTGAGCCTTACTCGAAATGAAAATAAAATTAAAACTATAAGTTAATAGTAATTAAAAAATTTTATATTTTAAACATAAATAAAATGTTACAATGATTATGCGTAAATAATTATAAGACACATTACTACATTGTGAGGCTCCAGGCTATGCATGCTGTTTAAGATAGTCAATCTCACCTGTCGTTCATAGTTCACTGATTATGTTGTCATGTCACGTCTCCATAATATAAAGTTAATGCGGGCTGTGCTGGTTTTTATAACAGAAAATTAGTTAATAATCCTCGAGTCTTCGCGTTTGGAGTTCGTTCAGCAGTATAGTGGCATCACTGTTGACGGTGGCAGTTAGGTCGTCCACACAAACGTATCCATTTCCTTTCATACACAAACTTTTCAGAACAAAAAGATTACATTGTATATTACCCAGCCTTTGTGTGTACCTTTCGTCTGCGTTATAAGTCCTATACGAGCAAATTATTACCATATTACGTTAAAGCCGATGTGACTAGTCTTTTTAACTCGTCGGATAAAATGGCGGTGATATGATTATGATCACCTGACAATCAAACTGCCTGCAAAAGGCCACTTGAAATAAATGAGTTTAAAAAATCATTTACAAAAACATGATTGAGAAAGTCAATCAGATATTTTATATAAAAAAGTAAACTAGTCATTGTTGATACTTCATTATTAGACAAAAATTATGAGTTATGAGTATGACTGTTGGTAAAACGCCAATAATTCGTCTTGGGCTATATGCACACACTTTTAAATTTCAGCTTTCGGTGAACTGTCCATTACAAAATTGTCCCATTAAAGATCTGATTTCTTTTAAAATCAGCAATCTTCACAGTCTGATAGAAATACGAAATGAAGTGGGTCTCAGACCGGAAAAAGCGCTGCATTAAATTTCCCCCTGCCATGTCTTTCAAACATAGTTTATTTTACCCCAGTATTTTCAATGGAATTTCTGCGGTAGCCTGTTGCTACTTTTATCTCGTTTTACACTTGAACTAAATAAATGCTAATGTCTTTTTAACTGAATGTATTGTAATTACATTACAACATTGATGCTGTAAAAACAACCTTGTGAAATTGAAAAGGGTCACATTAGGCTTTCACCGGAAGTTTATCGTTGGCTTAAAGCTCTAGCTGTGCAAAGAGAAAAACACTTAGGTTTCAATTGGTTTTATTATATAGATATATACAGGGATATGTACACAGTACAGTATATAAATCTGCAAGGGCTTCTGCATCTGCAACACGGCATGCCAAAAACAGAAATATGACCGTTGTTATTGTGAAAGTATCTGAACTATCACTCTTCACAGACCCAGTTAAAAAAAAAAAAAGATTCATGAATTATAAATTATCTGAAGGAAAACAAACAAACAAAAAGAATCAATAAAATCTGTAGTCTCCAAGCCCCAAATTAGTTGTAGAGTTCCAACAGTGTCTTCTAAAGCAAAATGTAGTTCCTAAAATATCCTGACAACATCAAAACTACACTGAAGTGAAGCTTCTATGTGTTTGCAATGTGAAAACAGCACAGGACGGGTGAGCGTTATGTAGGACATAAAATAAACACCACCACAACACACATGGTCTTATTATAATGCACATATTCATACTGAAGAGCTTCATCATCATCATCAGTTTACATACAGATTATAACAGCAGCACTAGTAATGTAGAGTAGCGTTGGTAAAGTCTTGTGTAACCATAACACACTTAATTGACTCATGTCAATTATGAGATAGTATGAATTAAGAAATCATTTTGATGAAATACAAAGTCAAAATGTTGCCAAGTGACTACGTTTGACTTGACTTATCCCGACTTTCATTATTTAGTCCTTTCATTTATTGCATAAAACAAAGCCTAAGTTTGGCTTGACTAATCTTGGCTTTCATAAGTTTGGCTTTGCTTTATGTATTAAATAAAACCTAGTCTTTGATCTAGGCTTTATTTTATGCATTTAATGAAAAGACTTATCCTGACTTTTAGAACTTAGTCCTTTCATTTATTGCATAAAAAAAAAACTAAGTTTGGCTTGACTAATCTAAACTTTTATAACATAGATTTTGTTTATCAAAGAACTAAGTTTGACTTGACAAATCTTGACTTTTATAATTTAGACTTTGTTTTATGGAATAAATGAAAGTACAAAGTTTGACTTTCATAACTTAGGCTTTGTTTTTGCAATAAACGAAAGTACAGAGTTTAACTTGACTAATCTAGACTTTCATAACTTGGGCTTTGTTTTATTCAATAAATGAAAGTACTAAGTTTTACTTGCTTTATCTTGACTATCACAACTTAAGCTTTGTTTTATGCAATAAATGAAAAAATTAAGTTTTACTTGACTTATCTTGACTTTAATAACTTATTCCTTTCATTTATTGCATAAAACAAAGCCTAAGTATTACTTGAAAAATCTTGACATTCATAACTTAGGCTTTGTTTTATGCAATAAATGAAAGTACTAAGTTTGACTTGACTTATCTTGACTTTCATAACTTAAGCTTTGTTTTATGCAATAAATAAAAGGACCAAGTCTGACTTTCATAACTTAAGCTTTGTTTTATGCAGTGAATAAGAGGGATACGTTTAACTTAACTTATCTTGACCTTCATAAATTAGGCTTTGTTTTATGCAATAAAGGACAACACTAACTTGACTAATATTGACTTTCGAAATTTAAGTTTGCTTTGTGATAAATAAAATGATTAAATCTGACTTGACTAATCTTGGCTTTAATAATTTAGGCTTTATTTAATAAATGACTGCAAGCCAAAAATTATGACAAAAAGCCAAATTATGGGAGTCAATAATGGGATAAAAGTTAAGAGTTTATCATAAATTATGGCAAATTGACATGATGGTCATTATTAATAATAAAAGTATATTATAAATCAAAAGTACGAGTTATAACATTGACAATTCAAAAGATATGAAGTCAATTATGAGACAAGTTAAATTATAACAAACTGAAAAGACGGTCAATTACAACATGGTCAAACAACTGTAAATCAAATAAATTATGACTATTTCATCATTTTTTGAGTTCTTATATCATCAAAACTGGCCACTATAAACACAAGTCATAATTATGTATTCAAAATTGAGATGAGGTTAAATGAACGTAAAATTATTAGATGTCGAAAATATACGAAATTGACTGATTATGAGTGTAAAACTTTTAACTTCGTAAGTTTTGATTCATTTTGTCAAAATGGACTACAAAATCAAAATGGGTCATGAAAGCAAATCAAAATTGAGATGCTAAAACAATTATGAGTATATTATAATCAGTAGAGAATATTACAAATTAAAACAGTCATAATTATGATGCATGAAAATTAAGATATTAAGTCAATTATGATACAAAGTCAAATTAGGCTGTTGTAACTCAATTTTAAATTTGACGTTTAATTTGTCACATAATTTTGAACTGTCCTAAATATCAGCATTTCGATTTTATATATTTTGTATAATACATTTTTTTTCCCCATATTTTTGAAATATCACTGACACAGTCACATCAGCAGACATAATATTCAACATGCAGGCTTTAACTATGAATTGTCAATTTCATCAGCCAGTTTTCATGTTTAAGCATCTGTTTTTAAATCAACAGACGTTTTCTTTTAAAATGTAAGTGCACAGCCTTAACTAAAATCCATGTTGTAACGAATTTTAAAAAAACCATGCTGAAATCACATGCCAGTTTTGGTCTTATTAAAAAAAAAACTAAATTTTTACTATTTAATCCAATAACTGGATCATAAATCACGCACGCTTGTTTCCTGCAGTTGAGTTACACCGCCTCGCATCCGTTGCTTAAAACAAAACAGCAGCCAACAACGAAATGATTTAAACCCATTAGCCCTCGATGATTTAAACTCTCCAAATATGCTGCGTTGAGTATTTAAGGTCATAACATGATCAACTTTGGTTACTCGAATCCCATACGGAATTCAGTTGCACACAAGACAGACATATATTACTGTACCTCCTAATCTGGTACACAAACACAGGGTTCGTCCACAAGGACTGTAAATCAGAAGCATAGTGTGCTTTCGTTATATAAACAGCAGAACCATGAGACACCTTCTAGAAGGGTCGGTGTAAGTGCTGTTGCCAAATCCTCGACACAAATCAACCCGGACATCCCAGAAGTCATCTATAAATATCACTTGATATGTCTGTGAAGGAAAAAAAAAAACAGAAAAATAAGCAAAACCTCAGTCCAAGTAGCAGTAACGTCAAGCAAAAGCTCATCAAACTGTCTGGAAGTGAAAGAAAATTTACTGTTGATGATGGATGTCGAAAAACAACACAATGAGGAGTGATTACATCGAATGGCGGATGTGAAAACAAAAGAATCGCAGTGTATGTATTAACTAATGCAATATACACAAATATTCTGTATACAAGTATGTACAAAACACTTGAGAAGCGTCCGTTTCCTTCATATTTAGCGGATGGAAAGACGAAAAAAAAGAAGAGGTATCAGGGGAGAGATGGGACAGTGATATTTTCTCAAAAGGCGCATTCAGCGAAAGACTTTGAGAGACAGGAAGTCTCCATTCGGGCTCTTGCCAAGGCATGTAGAGCAGTAGTATATGGGGTCAGTAGTGTTCACTCGGGACTTCCTCAATGGATCTTAATGGATGGAGATAGTTGGGTTCAGGTGGATTGCATGTGTTTCTGTGCACGCAGTGGGGTTTTGAGGAAGTGACATCATGTCTCTGGAAGCTGGCTGATGTCTGTAAGGTTGGTGTCGTTGAGGATGGCGCGGATCCGGTCTAATGACTCGGCCTGCCGAATGCGCTCCAGCTGCACCTGCGGGAGGACAACATTGCACTTTTACGTTCATGTGGAAACTGGTCTCTCAGGAAAACGGAACTTCTGTATGTTTTGCCGAAATTGGTGGCAAGTTATTTAGAAATTAAATTAATAATAAAAATTATTCTTATTAAAATCGTATTTTTATTAGGGCTGTGCGATATGGGCAAAAGAAACCTATCACGATTTTCTTGAACAATGCTGCGTCTAAATCACAGCGCCGGGCAAAAGTGTAAATCATTTTTTAAACAACTTTAAATATTTTAAATGTTATTTATTACTGTCATTTTTTTTACTTATAGCAAAACAAAATGTAACAATTCTGGGACTCTAGGGGTGGGAATCTACTGAGACGCAAAAGGGACGTAGTGGAGGAGAAAAAAATTGGCAGAGTGAAAAAAAAATGGGTTGGAGAAAAAAAAATGGGTGAAAGAAAAAAATGGGTGGGAGAAAAATATATATTTTTAAGTTTTTGCATTCTCTCGCAAAGTTTTGCGTTTTCTCGCAAAGCTGTTTTCCATTATCTCGCAAAGTTGTTTTTTGTGTTTCCTCGCAAAGATGTTTTGCATTCTCTTGCAAAACTGTTTTTTCACAAACACTTCCTGTTCACTTCACTCACGTAAACCGTACCGTTTTTGCCGAATTTTTTTACCAAATATTTTACCGTATTTCTATCCCACTTTCTTTACATAAAAGCTGTGCGTCGATCGTCGCCTTTCATATGCAACCTCTGAACCAGTGAATGTATAAGCGCTGACTGACAGACGTGCTCCGTACAATAAACTGATCCTAGATCAGCTTCTGTACACGCCATTTAAAGTGACGCCTCTGTTATCAAACAAGTGAGCAGCAATTGAATCTCTCGTTTTGTTTTGTTTGATAACAGAGGTGTCTATGTAAGAATGCACAGATCAATAATGAAAGCATTCCATTACTTTAGAAACTGTTTGTGCTCATTTAAGAGAAAATTAGCTGTTTAAAATAAAACATGTAGGATAGAGATGTTCACATATTATTCAGTGTATTTGTCTGTTTAAACATACATCCAAATCCAAAAGTGCCCTGCACTTTTGCTCCTCTGTAAATGACGTGTACAGAAGCTGATCTGGGATCAGAGCGCATCTGTCAGTCAGCACTTGCATGCATTCACTGGTTCAGAGGTTGCATTTGAAAGGCGACGATTGACGCACAGCTTTAATGAAAGGAAAGTGAATGCAGACAATTCAATATTAATTTCAGCGTGCTTCAAAGATTAACAATATATCAGAAATAAGGGAAAATAATTAATGACAGGATGATAGTGAGATAGAATGGTAAAATACGGGAGAATTTCGGCAAAAACAGGAGGGTTTACATGAGTCAAGTGAACAGGAAGTGTTTGTGGAAAAAATATTTTGCGAAATAACGCAAAACATCTTTGCGAGGGAACGCAAAAAAAAAAAAAAAACTTTAAAATATTATCTATCACTCTGTTTTTTATTCTCCCACCCAGTTTTTTTTCTTCCACCAATTCTTTTTTCCTACACCTATTTTTTTTTCCCACCATCACGTCCCTTCCGGATTTCCGTAGGAATCAGTAAAGTTCCCACGGTACAATATGATCATGATACTCATTTCACGATACAATATCATTGCGATTTTAATAATTTTGTGATATTTAGTAATATATTGCAATTTATTTCCTTTTTTAACTTCAAATTATGTTCCTTAAAATTAAGAATCAAGGGTGCATTATCTAATTAAAAGTAACCTTAAAAAATAAAAACAAACAAACAAACATCTATCTAAAATCAGACTTTTAAACAGTGTGTAAATACAGTAGATGAACCACGTTAACTCCAAATAAGCATATTAGAAAAGGTTTAATTGGTCTTTCAAAATGAAATGTAACAACTAAATCATTCACTTATTAATAACTAAATTAACAACTAATTAATAAACATTTTCAAATGTCTATATGCGAGATTGCTTGAAGCCATTTGGCAGAATAACTAAAGAAGTAACGCCAGATCTACTATCCTCTCTCAGGACTGTCTGACAAACCGTGTAGAAATGAAACTGTGGTTTAATTTCTAGTGAAATGCATTTACCTGAAGGGTCTGGGACAGTTTGACGAAATCTCTCTGGACCTGCTCGCTGACGTCCAGCTCTGCCTGAAGTCTCTGTGATTTGTCTTTCTCTTCAAACACCTGAGTCTCCAAAGCACTCTGCAACACACACATGTTTTTACATTCACAGTGACTTGATGTTTGCATCTTCACATGTTTAAACCAAGCGGCAACACCCCACTCTCTCTCATAAAACCAATGTGGAAGTAAATGAAACTGCAATTCATCGAAATTCCGCTAGGACTAACTCCAAAATAGAGCACATTTCTATTAACCCCAATGTTTACGAGGTCAACTTTACAGCAGAAAAATAAAATGTTTAAAACCTGGTACTAAAAACGTTTTGAGTGTTTAAAGCTAATATTACCTTTCATGGCAACTGTGTGAATTTTTTAATAACTCATCCATTTCATAATAAGTCTGTATAATTAAGGGCATGGCTAGGTCTTGCTGCTTGCCATCACTTCACCTCAGCCAATTCCAGCTGATTAGCTACTGAACTCAGCATATATGCCATATTTCTGATTTGTTTTCTGTGGCTTTACAGTCAGTTGCCCACTGGGATTTATTCTTACAATTATCAGATAGTATGGCATGCTCTGTGCACTTAATTATGCTCACAAACCATTCATGTGGCCTCCATTTCTGCAGTGAGAGAAAATCTTATATCATATCTATAAATGTATTTGTTTTATTTAAGATCATTTATTTATCTTATCTTTAATTTTCACTCTCCCAACTAGGGCGTGAGATGTTTCCGCGCATCGCTCCGTTTGCGCACGCATATTGGCATATATTCTTACATTGGAAATAACAAACTTGCACGCAAAAAAGACGCAATATGTGAACGGCCCACTGCTATAGTTAATCCAGTGTGGGTAACTTTGTTTGGTTGCAGCAGTTTTGCGGCGCTGAGAAGCCTTGTTTTTGTCTGCTCGCGCCACTCGCTTAATGTCAGGTGACTCGCGCTCTGCACAGCCTTCAACTGCAGTTCGTGATGTATTGAACAGACACACGTCACTTCATAACTATATTGGCCGTTTTTCGACTGAACAAATAAAGGTTTTTTTGATGTCTTGGTCACACTATGTGGAGAGCCGGAACAAATTGTCGCCAATTGAATAGCCCTAATCTATGGTTTAAACTCACTGGCCATTGCATTAGTTCACCTGTTTAACTGCCCATTGCAAATATCAATTTAACCAATCACATTGCATGATCTCGCGAAAATATGGACCCAAATCTCTGAGCAATGTTTCAAGCATCTTGAAGAATTTATTCCATAACAAACTAAAATTTACCTACAAGCTGTACGTAATATTATATGTGAATAAATTAAGCACTTTACCTTTATTTTATATTCTTTTTATTGTTCTGTACAGCACTTTTATTCAGATTGATTGATTGATTGATTGATTGATTGATTGATTGACTGATTGAGAACATTAAATGTTTTATTTTGGATTTTTTTGTTTAATCCAATACAATACTTTTGCTTGGGTGGACTTTCTAAGAATATTGCTTGTCTGATCAGTCACATGAACAGGAAGCAGTGAGTAGGCTATGAACTTTGCAGTTTTTATAAGAAACAACTTGAAGCTCGGCAGGCAGCAGCGTAGTGCAAAGGCAGAGTGGAGTGGGTCACATGAGGGTTCAGACCTTGCTGCCGAGGGTGTCTTTGAGCTGCTCTTCTAGACTGTTCTTCAGGCGCTGGACACTCTCCAGCATCTGGCTCTTCTCTGCCAAGCTGCTCTCCAGCTGTTGTGAACATCAGCAGATCATTCAACAAGCACAGAAGCAAAACAACAAACGTTCAATCTACTTTAGAGCTACAATTTGTCACTAAAACTGGTTCAGGGATTATTTCACCCCAATATAATATGTGACCATGCAGCAGAAAACCAGTCAAAAGAGTGTTTTTGGAAATTGATGTGTGGTTTATTAGGATAGGGCAATATTTGGCGCAGACACAGCTATTTGAAGGATTACAGAAATATAAATATTGAGGAAAAATAACCTTTAAATTTCAGCAAATTTAGTTCATAGAGATAAAATAATTTGTTTTAATATTATTATCGAAGGAAATGTACAAAATGTCTATATAATATGTAATAGTTTTTGGTATAAAACAAAAATCAATAACTTTGAATTTAAACAATGCAATTATTTTTCAATAATCGATCATTTGGAATTTTTAAGTAAAGTTTATTTATGAACTAATTTCGAGAGGATCACATGCTTATTATTGATCACGGCTGGTCCCGCACAAGCCAACTCATGAGTCACCATAAAGAACCTAAGTTCCATAACACAGTCATCTTCATTCTGAATAATCCCTCCTTCCACCCCTACTCCTCCTCCTTTCCTAGACGGGTAGCATGGAAACCCAGTGATTAGCACTGTTGCCTCACAGCAAGAATGTCACTGGTCCTAGTCCTTACCAAGCCAGTCAACATTTTTATGCTGAGTTTACATGTTCTCCCTGTGCTCGCGTGGGTTTTCCCCGGGTTCCCTGGCTTCCTCACACCATTCAAAAACATGCGAAGTTAATTGACTAATCCAAATTGGCACCATAGACATGCTCCTAAGTAAGTAGTTATCTCTTCATAGCAATCCCTAAATGTTCATTAGCTACAAACAGCAGGGGAGTTCTTGAAATCTACCTGAGCTTACACTGCCCTCTCGCCCTGCAAATGGGAGGGAGCCCCGGGCTCAAAGATCTTATGAGCTCTCTCCTGGGACAGCATGCCAAACACACTTTTTAAGTAAACATTAGCTAAATGTGAACTCTTGAAATACAATGCATTTTTGTATTTTCCTTCCCCAAAAAAGTACTAGAGCAACATAACAGTGGTGTTTTGTGATCCAGGGTCACAGGGTCTTTCTGCTGAAAACCAAAAATGGCATTTTCATCTGAAAAAGCAAAACGACTGATAAATATGAGTCAAAAAAGGCTTGCTGCACCCGTTCAGTGAGTTAATTTGACTCTCCCTCTAGAGGTAATCACTATAGGGTGTTAAGACTGAACTGGACATGAAAATCATTGCACTAGGAAACCCATTTATTTCAATGGCTTGTGCCGCACAAGATGATTTGTTGCTGCACCAACCAATGCACTATAACAGTAAAGCAGACCATGAACTATTTTGCACAGGCGCCATGATAAAAGTTAAAAATAGCTCAATACTCTGCTCTGTGATATTCTGCTCATGTACAAGTAAACTTAGGCCCTAATTATACTGTCAGGTTTTGATACCCAATTCCGATTTGTTGCCTATATCAGTTTTTTTGTCAGTCCGTTTACACATTCTTTTAATTGTAACCCATTTCCGATTCATTCATTTACACTTGCTATACAATTTACGACGTCTCGCATGCGTAAAGGCGGGTTCTACCATCTGCGCCACACTAGCCATGATGGAAAAAAAAATGTCTTGCTTATAGCGCTTCGAAACACGTGAAGTCCGCCTCATATTAATATGATTTTGAGGTGAAGACAGGGGAAAGGGCCGATATCACAGCTTGTGCCTATGGTTTATATATAGTGTCCTCCACCATTCAGAGGAATTTGTGGGCACGAGAGAGATCTCAGGTCTGGTGGGAGCAAATTGTGGCAATTGATCACTTTTCTCCTCCTCCTTTCCTCTCTTGTTGTTTACCGTGTCGGCGTCTTCTCACACGCTCTTCCTTCTACATCATTAAACCGTGGAGAAGGACCACATTGTCGCAAGTTTAATAACGTACAAATCAGAATGCCTCAATAAACCCGATCTGCCCGTTTACATGATAGTCGAATTATAACATATTCAATTTATATCCGATTTATTTTTACACATATGAAGGAGGCCTGAAACCGATCTCTAAATATCCAAATGCATGTGTTTTTGTTCGTGTTGACACGTTCACAGAACAGATCCGATCTGTCACATAGGAGTGAAAAAATCTAAATTAGGTCACATTTGACTGGCAGTGTAAACAAGGCCTTATATATGCATGCATGAACCACACATGCTTACTGTAAAAGCAAAGTTTACTCAACAGACAACACAGAAAAGACATTTCTATTTAGTATACTTGTTCCTGCTGCTTTCGATATGATGAAAATAAAACCTACATAAAATAAATACAAATAAAGTTTGTTTGTGGAGTAAATGGGGGAAAACTAATGCCATATACAGTTGAAACCAGCAGTTTACATACACTGTATAAAAAGGGCACATAACCATTTTAAAAAAGTCATATGGTAATGTGACTAAACTTTTCTCTTTTAGGTAAGTTAGGATTATCACATTGGATTCTGTTATGCCTAATGGCAGAGAAATGAGAGATATAAATTTTGAAAAAATTGTTACAACTTTTTTGAAAGTCAAGTTTACATACAATAAGATTATTATGCCTCTGAAAAAGCTCAGATGATGGTGTCATGGTTTTGGAGATTTCTGACTGGCTAATTGACAACATTTGAGTCAATTGGATGCACAACTGTAGAATGGTATTGAAGAAAAACCTCAAACACACTGCTTCCTTGTGACAATATGAGAAAATCAACAAGCCAGAATCAACAAAAAAGCCAGTTTACAATTTGCTAAATTACACTCTGAAAAATAATTTTTGGAGACATGTCCTGTGGTCTGATGGAACTAAGAATGAGCTGTTTGGCCATAATGACCAGTGTTACATTTAAAGGAAAGCTTAGGAACACCATCCCAACTGTGAAGTATGGGGGGCGGCAGCATCATGTTGTGGGGCTGTTTTGCTGCAGGAGGGACCGGTCCACTTTACAGCATAGATGGCATCAAATAACATTATGTAGAAAAACTGAAGCAACATCTCAAGACATCAGCCAGGAAATTAAAACTTGGCCACAAATGGGTCTTCTAAACAAATCATGACCGTAAGCATACTGCCAAATTAGTTAAAATGTGCTTTAAGAGTGGCCATCACAAAGCCCTTATCTCAATCCTATTAAAATAATTGAAAAAGCTTATGCGAGCAAGACAGCCAACAAATCTGACTGGATGAATGGGCCAAAATTCCTGCAAACTATTGTGAGAAGCTTGTGGAGGGATGCCCAAAACATTTGACCAAAGTTATACAGTTTAAAAGCAAAGCTTAAAGGGTCACGAAACACCAAAACACATGTTTTGAGCTGTTGACAGTCGTATATGTGTCCCACACTGCTAAAAACACTATTAAGACACCTATATTTCAATAAAAAGTGTAAATTGGTTGTTTTTGCGTTATTTCAAGCAAATTCGTACTTCCGGTTTGAAACGAATTTTTGAAGCTGCGTCACGGTCATGACATAATAGCGTGTATTCCTGCGTGCAGACTGGGCGTCTGTGCCAGAGTGAGTCTTATTACGTTTTACAGTGTGATGCATTAATGCATGAGTAAGGCTTGGTTCAAACCAATCAGCGCTCTATTGTGCAACTTCATTAATATTCATTACTATCACCGTGTTTTCAGGACAGAGACGCCACGTTGTGTTGGCAAAACAAGCGTGAAGTGTTGCTTTTATAGTCTGCTGCAGTTAAGTTTCGTTTTCATTTTCTCTCTGTGAAAGCTCAGTCACGTGTGGATTAACAGTGTACGTGACGCGCGACAACAATAACTTACGTGTCTAAGGAGGATTATTGTTTACCTGAGAGCTGTTCTCATCTGCAAACGCTGAGATCCGGATTCGCTTGAAGTATTCTCTTCATAAAGACGCGCCTCTAGTTGCTGGTGATTGTCCTGTCTCTACAGATTTGGTAAGTGAGCGAGCAGCGCTCTTTGTTTATTCAGTTTGTTCGTATCTAACAAGCTATTGCACAGAGTGTAAACACGTTAGCACCACAACCAAACTTTAACCTCGTGTAGGGTTTTTACCGCATTTAGTGACCGGAATAACACGCGCGGCTTTCTGACACTACCTGTCGTGTGCTTCTAAGTTTCTGGGAAATGCTGAGGTTTTTTTTCTCTCATTCGCCGTGCGGTATAAAACATTGCATGAAAAATACACGCTTAGAGCAGCTCCTCGAATCAAATATCTCGTGTGTCGCGAGGGGCATGAATGAATTCCCTGAATGAAAGAGCCAAACTGCAGTTAAAGTCCACCATTTAATAATTTGGCAAATAATTCGACTACAGATGTCCATGTAGGTTAAACACCATCACTTTCTCCTGTATGTGTGTGTGTGTGTGTGTGTGTGTGTGTGTGTGTGTGTGTGTGTGTGTGTGTGTGTGTGTATTTTGACTCTGAAACTCGCGCGTGCCCAAATAGACACTCCCACACCATCCCACTTTTCTTCCTCCGACACTCCCCCCTAAACAGAGCTGGACACGCCCACTTTTCTGACTTTTTCCAAAGTAGAGGTGTGAAAACACCCTGCTGAAACGAGGGGGTTTCATGGCCCTTTAAAAAATACCAAGGAAATGTATGTAAACTTTTGACTGTCTGGAAATCAATAAAAAAACAACTGTTCTCATTATTCTGGCATTTAGCAAATGTAAATCATTTAGGTAATCCTAACGGACCTAAAATAGTAAACGTTTAGTATGATTTACCATCAGGCAATTTAAAAAAATGGTTATGTTCCTTTTTTAGAGAGTGTGTAAACTTCTGGTTTCAACTGTATACATATGACTTGCATATCTGTGTTCTTTCCTACCTGTTCCTTCTCACTCTTCACTCGTTCCAGTTCCGTCTTTAGGCTGGAAAAAGATGCTACAGGATGGAAGAAAGACAACAACAAAAAGTCACATGCTGTAGTAGTGTTTGGCAGTTTTTTTTTTTTTTACTTTTGATAACAACAATATTTAGCTTTATCTTTATCCTAGGGCTTAGTGGCCACATACGTGGACAGCACATTTTAGCTCTTATGTCTTATATTTTGTTACAGACATAAAGTGTCATCCTGAAACTGTTTTGCAGCATATGAAATGTCCCAAACACTATTTTAACCGTCCAAAAATGGGCAAATAATTTTTTTTTTTACTGACAGTCAAAACACGTTCAAAAAATGTGTGTATGTGTTATTAATGCATTAAAACAGTCAGGAAAAAACTGCTGTATTCAAGGCAGAAATAAAGAGCGTTTCATTTGGTTACACAAAGGTGAATTTATTGTGTTTTATGGAAGTTCAGACCACGAGTCCACATATATGGACATCATTTTTTTCTACAAGTACATCATATCAAAGGATGATACTTAGGTGTTATTCTAATTAGATTTTAATGAGCCCAAATAGCAAAGAGAAAATAAAAATGCATGTAAAAAATAGCTTGGGCCTCAAGAGGTTAACTTTAGCTAAAAAGCTCATTTGCATTTAGAAGTCATTAGTTAGGGACACTAGTTAACATGATCCAACAATGAACTGCACTTCTACATCATTTAAAAATCTGAAGCTTAATGTCTACATTTACTAAAAATACACAGCTAAATATATATTTTTATATAACATTAGTTAATGCACAATGGACTAACATGAACAAGCAATGAGCAGCTGTATTTTATTAAGGTTAATAATGTTAGATTGTGTTAGTTAAGCTAGCTAGTGAACAGCAGAGTGATTTTAACTAACATTCTACCTCATGTCCTTGACTTTACTACATACAGTATAGGGGAATTACTAACTTACGTGACACGGGTTTAACCGAGCATTTTTTAAAAAAAAAAGTATTTTAAAAAAAGACTGGTTGCAATAGCAAACTAGTCGTGTTGTGCAGTAGGATGCCAAAATCGAAAGTCCTAAAACTTAAATTTTACCGTACACCACACTGCTTTTAATGCCAACAGCAGACGTTTTTGCTTAACAGCCATCAGAAGAGCTGAATAAAGTGACGACCTAATTAAAAATGCTTGACTCTGCAGTTCTCAATTCATATGAGGCAAGTTCACACTATGCTGAGTCATACACATTACACGATTTTTGATCGCAGCAATGATTTCAGCAATAATAGTTAAATATGGTTAATTAAACTATAATTGTGTGTGTACACATACATATCGCGTGTATCGTGTGTGTATACACACACACACACACACACACACACACACACACACACACACATATATATATATATATATATATATATACACACACGATTTAGATCGAGTCTAAAACCACATGATCGGGCCTGATTTCTGATCATGTGATCGGATCTGGATATCCCTAATAAATTTTGCTTGGATGTTTTGGAGACACGACGGTGTATTTGTTTAAATATAAATACATTTTTAAACGCTGCTGTCAACTTTACCCATAAAAAGCTTCAATGCGGGGAAAAAAAGAAAGGAACTCGACATCAGTTTCAAAGCAGCTTCAAAACACTGACGCAATGAAGTATGCAGACAATATTTCGAATGAATAATGTGGAGTGACATTTCCATTATATAATGCATATTTGCAGCAGCATGAGCGCATCACATTTCATTTCTCTGGCTTGAACCCAGTCACGTGATGTTATTTCATTAGCATTAGTACAGTACGCATCTAAATGAAGCAGTACGTAGCGAAGTGGATGTGATGAGAAACAGTGCTGATGCATGGGTTTAGCGAGTGTGTTAGGATGACATCTGTGGTGCCACTACAGACATACACGACCTACACAAACACACACTCAGGCAGAGGTTCGTACCTTCCAGGATGTCTGAATACAAGGGCACCAATTCAGGGAGAAGAAGCGGAGGAGAAAAACACAGTATTGGAATTGAAACACGAGAAGGAGATATACAGATAAATGTGTTGTGCATTCCTCTGGCTCACAGAGTTTAATGATGTGAATCAGTTTTGTTGAAAGCCAGATGAAAGGAGCAATGCTTCAAAAAGAGTAGTTGGATTTGGTTGGATTTTTCCAAACAGCTGAAGACTCGTATTTCAAAGTCTCAGCGAAAGCCAGTGCAAACATTCACTGCAGTCGAGAGAGGCTTTTAATCATTAAAGTTAAAGGGGGGTGGGATGGACAATCTTATATCATATTTTCATTTAATGTTAATGTGATTTTTAAAGATTTGTTATAAATTTTTTGGATTAAAATTCAATTGAGAAGGGTTATTATGATTTTAAAATATTAACTTTATAAACGTATTATTGTTTACTGCTAACTAATGTAATAAATTAATGTTTTCTAAGAAGAATTAGAAATTTTATACAGTAATATTATACAATTATTAACCCTCCTGCAGTTGTATTTTAAAAATATTTCCCAAGTGAACAAAAGCAAGAAACGTTTCATAGTACTATTTATTTTTTAGCTAGATTTTTTCCTGCAGAATTTCTTATTTCTATTAGTTTGGCTGTAAAAAGTAAAATAAAATAAAAATAAAACAAAATGAACAAATAAATAAAATGTTAAATTTAAAAACTGCTAAGGTCAATATTACAAGTTTTTTTTTTTTTTTTTGATTGGCTACAGAATAAACCACTATTGTTCAATGCCTCATTATCTTAACTTGACTAATTCACCTATTGAGGCCTTCAAATTGAAAAATGCGAATACTAGTATCTTGCAAAAATATAAGTAGTAAAATTATTTTTATTCTAAAACTATGGCTTAAAAAATGTGTTGAATGTATGATGTGTAAACATCTTTCCGTTAAATAGCACATTTGGAAATATTTGAAAAAGAATTCAAATATCACAAAAGTGGTAATAATATCATCTTCAACTGTATGCAGCAATTAGAAGCAAATGAATATATTGCTGTATGCAGCAATATGCAGCAAACTGAACAATTAGATTATTTAAAATCTATAAATAAGTCCCAAGTCAGTGCAAGAATGAATATATATTCATTAGTTATATAATTATATAATTAGGTAGAATAAATTATTATATAATTAGGTAGAATAAATATAAGCACACTGGATGGATGGATGGATGGATGGATGGATGGATGGATGGATTGATGGATGGATGGATTGATGGATTGATGGATTGATGGATAGATGGATAGATGGATAGATGGATAGATGGATGGATAGATAGATAGATAGATAGATAGATAGATAGATAGATAGATAGATAGATAGATAGATAGAATAGATAGATAGATAGAATAGATAGGATAGATAGATAGGATAGATAGATAGATAGATAGATAGATAGATAGATAGATAGATAGATAGATAGATAGATAGATAGATAGATAGATAGATAGATAGATAGATAGATAGATAGATAGATAGATAGATAGGATAGATAGATAGATATATGTTTGTGTGCCAAATCAGCAAAAACACCACTCAAATGTTGAAATATTATTATAAGCTTATTGTAAACAGGGCTAAAATCATTTTAGGTCATTTTTAACCAAAACAAAAAGTTATGGGCTGCCTGTTTAAAATAGATATTGGCAAGTTTTTTTGTGCAGTCAATAAGAAAAATATCAATCTAAAAACCAGGAGTGGGGGGCAACATGTCCCCATCTCAACCAGTGATTCCCTAAATCTCTCATTCAGTTGATTCGTTTAAGAAGGCTAATTCATTTAGAAATTAAGCAAATGACAGTTTATGAAAGGATCACTGATTCATCGACTCAAATAACTATACATGCCAAAAATACTATGGAAGTTTGGTTACCAAAATTCTTCAAAATATCTTCTTTTGTGTTTAACAGAAGAAAGAATTTCAAACAGAAACAACTTAAGGGTCAAAAACTTGAACTATTGTTGATCTAGATTTCTTTGACTATCCATCTGAATGGAGATGCCAGTCCACTCACCGATCTCTTCTTTACAGCCCTCAATCTCCAGCTGTAGAGTGTCCTCCAGGTTCTCTTTGAGGCACTGCTCCGCCTGGATCTGCTCCTTCAGGAACAGAATTTCAGCCTTCAGCTTCTCCTCTAAATGCTCGGCTGCTGTGCGTGCAGAAACAATGTCCTCCCTGTACTGCAACACCAGCTTCTGAAGTTCCTGGGTGGAAAAACTAAACTTCAAAAATGTGGCCAATCATCAATTCCACACATTTCCAACATTGTGAAGTTCTTACAGTAAATGCACAGCATTGACCTTATTCTGTAATGTGTAAGAGCGCTCGTTTTTGTGATTGTTTTAGAACAGGGATGTCAAACTCAATTCCTGTAGGGCCGCTGCCCTGCACAGTTTAGTTCCAACCCTAAGTAAACACACCTGATCAAACTAATGGAGTACTTCAGGCCTGTTTGAAACCTACAGGTAAGTGTGTTGGAGCAGAGTTGGAACTAAACTGTGCAGGGCTGCGGCCCTCCAGGAATTGAGTTTGACATCCCTGCTTTAGAACTTCTGATTCAGTTGCCTAGGGAAGAAAAGACTAGGGAAAATAAACTGTAGAAAACGGTCAAACTACTTGCTCTACAAATAAGTGTGTTCATAACTATACATAAAAAGAAAATAATTAGAAAATATCAGTTTGCAATATCAATAGCATAATGAGCTGAAAATTAATGGAAGTGAATGAGACCGGAAGTCTCAAGCCAAAAAGTTTCCAATGGCTTCGTCCTCTCATACATCAAGAATTAGGTCAATAAGGGGCCATTTACACAACGTTATCAGTCAAAACCAAGAAGATTTTTGAGTGTTTTGCCTGTTTGTTTACATGACAACAGATTTTTTGTTTTTGTTTTGTTTTTACTGAAAACTCATAATTCTGAAAACCTGTTTTAAAGTGGAAGTTTTACAAAACGGCACAGTTTTTTTGGTCTATGTAAACAACTTTGAAAATGATGTTGCATGTGTTCAGGGGAGCGTTTGCTATCAAGGTGACAGCCAAATACTGTTGTGTATACATATAGTTTTAACAATGTTTTGTAAATGTTGTTTTTAAAAATGCAACAACTTTTCAACTTAGACGTTTGGGTTAAACGTAACCCAAGTTATTAGTGACTGGAGGTCACTAGGGCTGGGCGGTATATCGAGTTCTGGGGAAATATCGATATGATTCCTCAACGTGATGCGGGATTATCCAATATCTTTCATATTGATATGGTTTAAGGCCACAAGTGCGCATTCTGTGTGAGGTAGCACACAAATTCTACTTGCACAAATGAGCACATGCGCAAATTAATGATTCACTCCCGGAGTCATACAAAAGATTTGTTCAAAATGAATAAATTGTTCAAGAACAACCCATCACTGAAGCGACATGAAGGAATATGCAGTGTTCCTTTTATCCATAATTTCTTTCGCAATTGACAGCAGGAACAAACATAGAAGCCTTGTCAAATTGAAAAGCAGCACCTGAGTTCTGTGTTCAAAAGAATTAAAAACGCCAAAATGGAAGGAATTTATACCACATTTCGAAAGTGAAACCACCTCATTTTCACTGATTATAAGTTCAGGATAGGGTTGTGACGATGAGGAAATTTCCCCACCGGTTAATCGACATGTGACAACACCGGTAATACCGGTATCACCATGAGAGTGGGTGTTTCTTCTTTTTCTCTTTTTTTTCTGCTTTTAAATAGCTTATAAATTCAGTGCACAGTAAGACTATTGACCAACACCGCTCTGTGAGTTTACACACTGCATACTGTTGGTCCACAGCTCTGGTGTGGTATGAATTACATGTTTTAAATGACAGCGAGACATGCTACGTTTGGTTTTTATTGTAAAATATACATTAATACCAAGTACACAGTAAAATAATATTTTGAATGGCTTGTCTATTGGCGGCGTATATAGCCATTAAATTTAAATAGGATAAGCGTATTTTCATTAATATTAAAACACATTAACACTGATTTTTTTTTCGTTTACGTATATTTTTATCAAACGAAAAATGCAATGAATTGTTTATTTTGTTTTTCATTTTATTAGAATTTTTATTTAGGAATTTTGTATTTATGGTCATTGATCTATTCGCGACCCACCCATAGTTAAACATAAAGGTGCGTTGAAGGTGCGTGTATAAATTAGTTGTGTTTCCTCTAGATGCTGCCACCTTTGTCAGGCAAAGTTTGCAGATTGCCTCATTAACGTCTTCAGGTTCTCTTTTTGCATTTGGTTTGAACCCAAAATATTGCCAAACAGGTGCTTTTGCATTGCGTTTTGACACTAAATCGTCTGCCATCCTCTTTCTGTAAATTCGACTCCTCTTTTCTCCTCACATGATAATTGAAATATGACACATTGTAGCTATGTTCAGATTTTATTAGAATTTTTATTTAGGAATTTTGTATTCATGGTCATTGATCTATTCGCGACCCACCCATAGTTAAACATAAAGGTGCGTTGAAGGTGCGTGTATAAATTAGTTGTGTTTCCTCTAGATGCTGCCACCTTTGTCAGGCAAAGTTTGCAGATTGCCTCATTAACGTCTTCAGGTTCTCTTTTTGCATTTGGTTTGAACCCAAAATATTGCCAAACAGGTGCTTTTGCATTGCGTTTTGACACTAAATCGTCTGCCATCCTCTTTCTGTAAATTCGACTCCTCTTTTCTCCTCACATGATAATTGAAATATGACACATTGTAGCTATGTTCAGATTTTATTTATAGAGCATGCTCTCATCTTAAGTCAATTATTTATAATTATATTTTTCATTTAATTCAAATAAATATTTAATAAAAAAAAAAAAAAACTTAAAAACAAAAACAAATGTGGGGACGTCACTGTGATGAACGTCAAAAGATATGTCACTGGTGTTGCATCTTAAAACCGGTATCACCGTCCACACCGTCTATCGTGGCAAGCCTACTGTATATGCCTATTGCGTATCCATAATACACTGTGATATAGCCTGGCTCGGTTCTTATTGCTTTCTCACTACAACCGATCCGCTCCAGAGTTTGTTTCAATCGAGCTGAGACCAACTCATTCAGGCGATCTCATACCAATTGTTTTGGCGTGAATCAGAGTGCGATTGCTGGATTCACATATGCCAAATGAACCAAGCTAACTGGTGAAACGCGTCAAGCTCCGAAACAAAAGTCTAGCTGTGACAGCACCCTTAATATTTACATAAAAAATGTCTTAGCAATAATGATATTTTGAATGTCTCTTCCCAAAATTCATGTGTAATGAACTTAAATACAATTCCTAGAATTTAATACTGGAAACATTTAAATGGGTTTCGGAAAATATTGATAAAATGTGCTTCATTTGTCATAGATTTTGTACAAGATTTCAATTTAAAATTTCTAAATAAGGAATTTCTCTTTTTCTTGTTTAGTTTTTTGACAGCAACACAGTACAATTGTTAAATTTAAACACTTTCAAGAACCTATGTTTGTTCTAAGTACCTTTCCAGGCCTTGAACCCATATGTCTGAAATTCAAGTACTTTAGAAGCATGGAAGCCCTGTCAATGGAATTAAATAGGAGCCATTTTAGAGGTATAAACCACACATGCAGTGAAGTACCTGTACAGTGGTCGGCATGTGAAAGTCCTCTTGCTGCTGCAGTGTCATGTGAAGTCTGTGTTTGCCCTGAAGACTTTCATTATCTCTCTGCAGTCTGTTCAGCTCCTCAGACACCTGCTCTCTGGACTGTAGCAGAACAGCCTGGAAACACACACACAAACACACACACACACATACACACACTCAGACCACTTAACCTACAAAACCCACTGCAAGCCACAAATGTTTTCTAAAGCATACATGTAAGTGGAAAACGATCCATTATAAACAAGGATTTTCAACTAAATCTGCCAATGAAAACATGAGTGTGACCATGAGAGATTCACCAAGCATTCTTTAGCTAATAACTAACCGACAGAACCCTTTCCAAGGTGATTTATTCCACTTCAGCATCTTAAATAATGATAATGCACCTTCAGATTTCATCCAGATGTGCCTTAAGTGAGCGCCAGAGATGATGAACTCCACCCAAAACAATACTGACCGCCAAAAAACACTTTCATGCATTAGTACAAGTCACAAAAAACAAACATGTACAACTGAAGCCCATTATTCGAACTCCAGTGAATTTTCTTTTTCAAATGTTTCCCATATGATGCTTAACATAGGAAGGATTTTTTACAGTATTTCATATAATCTTTTTTCGTCTGGAGAAAGTCTTGTTTGGTTTATTTCAGCTAGAGTAAAAGCAGATTTTAATTTTTCTTTTTTAATTTTAAAGTCTATCTCCTCCTAAGCCTTTCAAGCTACATCCTTCTAACTTTCGTCAGACCGTCAAACTGGTCTGACTCTGGTTGCTATATCTTTTCCAACTGATCTGACTTTCGGTTTTCCAAAAAATGACCCAGAAAATTCTGAAAAGTGCCATTGACTTAACATTGGGTCAAACTTTGAGAGCTCATAACTCTTTATCAGACTGTCACACACTCTTAAGAATAACAGGCTTTTCACCATAGCCACCATAAAGTTTGTCCTCAAACTTTAATATGTAGTTAAAACTATTATGTTTAGAAATGTGTTGAAATAAATCTTCTTTCCCGTTTTTATAAAAATATATTTGAGGGTTAATTATTCAGGAAGGCTTCAATAAATCGAGAGGTTTTGTGGCATGAAAAAAACCACATGCTCTGGTTGAAATTAATGAAGCAAAATGAGTGAGTGTTTTTGCTGGTACCATCTGTTCCTGGGTGTTCCTCTTGGCCTGGCTAAAGGCCTGTTGTAGAGCGCTGAAGAGAGACTCCGACTCCTGAACTTTCTGCTTCAGCTCCGAGATCTGTGTGCCAGATTAATGAAAATTAAAGCGTTGTTTCCCTTAGAAGAACGGCAACATTCAGAGCAGTCCGTGCATTCTTCAAATTTAAACAATGGCTTTGTTCTAGCTACCGGTGAGCTGCTTAAGTAGTCACTATTTTTAGAAAACAAACTTTTGATATTTCCAAACTGTAAGCTGCAAAGCCATAGTGCCTTGTACAGTACAATGCTGATACTGTAAGGTCCAAAGAAGTCTCTTATGCTTAAGTAGTGCTATTGAGATGATATTTATTATAAATGAATTATAAATAATAGAATAGTTAATTAACATTGCAAAAAAAGAAAAGAAAGAAAAAAAAGCAATTTTGTTTATTAATTATCTTACATTTCTAATGTCAATATAATTTTATTTTACCTCTTTTAGTACAACCCCAAATAAGAAAAGTTGGGACAGTATGAAAAATGCAAAAAAAAAAAAAAAAGTAGTAATTTCCAAATTTACCTTGACTTGTATTTCATTACAGATAATATAAACACAAAATATTTCAACTTAATTTGTAAGTATAAATCATTTCCTGTCATTCAGATCTGAAACACATTCCAAACAAAAGTTGGGACAGTTTAGGGCTAGTAATCGGGTAAATTGGTTAAATAATGATGTGATTTGAAATGGCTGATGTCAACAGGTGTTTGCAATTATGATTTGGTACAAAAGCAGCGTCCAAAAAAGGTCTAATTTATTAGAAAGAAAGATGGGCTGAAGATCGCCAGTTTGCCAACAAATACATGTGAAAACTATGTTTAAAAACAATATTCTTCAAAGAAAGACGGGAAAACATTTGGATATTTCACCTTCATCAATGCAGAACATAATTAAAATATTTAAGAAATTTCAGTGCATAAAGGATAAAAGGCACAAGCCTAAGCTGAACAACCATGAACGCGGACCTTTCAGGCGGCACTGCATCATAAATCCTCATTCATCTATAAGCAATATCATGACATGGACTCAGGACATCTTAGGCAAATCTTTCTTAAGTACTACAATATGCAGTCCACAAATGCCAGTGAAAACTGAACTGTGCCAAAAGGAAGCCCTATGTTAACGCTGTCCAGAAGCTCCGTCACCTGCTCTGGGCTTGGAAACATCTGGGATGGACCATTACACAGTTGAAACGTATACTGTGGTCAGATGAATCAGTATTTCAGGTATGTTTGGGGAGAAATGGGCACCGTGTGCTACGGACCAAAGAAGAAACAGATCCAGCAAGTCCAGAAGCCAGGGTCTGTCCTTATATAGGGTTGTGTCAGTGCCCTTGACAAAGGTAACTTGCACTTCTGTGATGGCAATAAATATGTTGAAATATGAAATAATGAAATATGTTTATTTAGAAGAAAAATAATAATAAGAAAAAGAAAACAAGAAAAATGATGAGGAACACATTAATCAATGTTTGTTTATACTGCAATGAAATACAAGTCAAAGTAAATTTAAAGGTAACTTTAAAGATGACATTTTTTTGTTGTTTTATTTTTTCATACTCTCGTAAATTTTACTGATTTGAGGTTGTACATCAATTTAACAAAAAATAAAAAAACAACAAAGTGAAATATTAATTAAATCTAAACTGACAGTTTTCTATTTGAGTACATTTTAAAATTAAATTTATTCTTGTGATGTCAATTTTCAGCATCACTGTTCTTAAATCTCACATGATCCTTAGAAATTATTATAATATGTTAATTATGTAATCTATAATATTTTTGGTTCAAAGGACGGTGGGTGAATCCACCCAGGATATTTTAAAGACATATATTTTATTCAATTATATTTATTCAATTTTTTCTAAATCTTATTCTAATTCGTACATTTTAAGAAAAATTATGAGTGCTGTGGGAAAATATGCATCATGCAAAAAGCCAAATTTAAACAAGCAAAAAAAAAAAAAGCATTATTTAAAATGAAGTCGTGATGTGTTAGTATGTTAATTTAACGTTTGGATCCTGCAAGAAATATATTATGAAGACACAGCATTATTGTATCTTTCTCAAAGCATTACTGAACTTTCTGCACTGAGTAGGACGTGATAACATCCAGTTTTGTCAATGCATTTGTGCTTCACTAAAGAGATATGAGTTTCACCTTGGCAGTAGTGTCCTCATTGGCCTGTTTGACCGAATCCTCCAACTCCTGTTTCTCATTCATCGTCCGCTCCAGCTGATCATTCGCCTGCCGCAGGATGGCCTGTAGCTTTTTAACCTATGGCAAAGAAAGGAAAAAAGGAAAGATCACTGTAGAAACATGACCAGAGCCTGTCCTTTTCAATAGTTTCACTACACTTTTGTGTGATTTACTTAAAGACCTGATTTTGAAGCCATAGAAGCACCAACCTGATCTCGTGTCTCGGCCTCTTGTCCCTGGATGACCTGCAGTTGTTTCTCGTAATTAGAGCACATGTCACATCGCCGGCCCAACTTCCTTCCAGCGTTCTTCAGCTGAGGTCAAACCACACCAACACAAACACACATGTTAAATTAGGACTTCAGATATCTCATCTGCGCTGAATATTTCAAACAAGCATATGCTTCACTGTGCATGTGTATTTGAACAAAAATTCAAAACAATAGCATTTTAACAACCCATTCACACGGGGCTTCAGCATCAACGCTTGACAGCGAGCATAGAAGCGTCAGCTAATGAAAGCAGTCAGCAATCGGCTACTGTCTGAGCTGGTGTATTTGCATACAGCGATCTGATTGGCTGACGCTTCCGTCTGCGCTTGAAAAGTTGAGAAAGTCCCAACTTCTGCAGCGAACAACACCACCAAAGAGCATAGAATCACCAAGAGGCGACACTCTAGTGCGATTTGGGAAACAGCCACTAGATGCCACTAGTGTGACGTGGCGGCCATTTTGGAATGAAAATTCAAATAGAACAACAGCATATTATAAGCAGTTTGGAATCACCAAGAGGCGGCACTGAATAGAATGTTCCATTGCAACAGCAGCGCCCAGCAACAGCCCCAGATTCCGCCATTTTGGAGTGAAAGCGATCGGCCGTGCATTGAATCTTATTGGTGTCGCGATGGCAAGCAGCTGCTTTGTTTTTTATTTGTTTATTTAAAAAGTGCATTAAAGCTGAGATACAATCTGAAAGAAGACAATACAACACTTAGGGTGCTTTCACACTTGGTTCATTTGCCTGGACCGTACCCAAGTTCGATTGTCTACTCTTGCCACCTCCTCGGTTGGTTTGTGTTCACACTGTCTTTTTTCCTTCTGAACCCTGGTACGCTTGCGTCATCGAGCTGCTGTTTTGTTTACGGCCGTTGCCGTTGTGACGGCCACGCAAGCAAGCGCCGAAATGGAAAGACTTCCACACATTGCGGTCGTTCTGCTTTTACTGAAAGCTTTTGGACATACAGAAAGCAACTTGCGTCCATCTGCCGCAAAAATATTATGCACATTCAGAACATCACACAGCGTCTGCAGAAGCTGTTTTTGGGGGAGACAAGCAGACATAACTGTGTTTGCCCTGGCTCAGTCCCGCGCGTGTCACCAAGGTACGAAACAAGACACACACACGAACAAACGACTGTTATGAAAACGATAGTTTGTTGTACAGTTGGCAGTTCACTATAGTTCACTTCCATTATTTGGTACGATTGCATTCACATCTGAAGTGAACCGTACCAGAGTTTGCATGAACCGTACCCCAGACCACCTCTTTCAGGCGGACTCGGGTACGGTTCACGGGTCCGCACCCGGGTTCAGAAGACGCATTCACACTAGCTAAACATACCGTACTATGACGTCAAAGGAACTCGGGTGCGGACCAAAAGTGCTAGTGTGAAAGCACCCTTACTGTCACAATCATCAGCACTTTTAATGGTTTATTTTACAGACTTATAATATGCTGTTGTTCTATTGGAATTTTCATTCCAAAATGGCCGTCGCGCCATTTAGTGGCTTATTCCCAAATCGCACTAGAGTGTCACCTCTTGGTGATTCTATGCTCTTTGTTATAAGTATAAGGGAGGATCAGGCCTTTAATGTTTACTGCCATACTTCATAGAAAGATTAAAAATACGGGAGAAATATGGAAAAATATCTTAATAGGATGATAGTGGGACAGAATTGTAAAACACAGGAGAATCCTGGGAAAAATGGGAGGGTTGACATGTATGTAATTGTCCCAAATTCCATTCCACATCTCTGCACAGTTTAGCTCCAACTCACACCAGCTTAATAATTTCTAGTAGTCTTGAACAGCTTGATTAGTTAAATCAGGTGTGTTTAATTAAGCAAAACTGTGCAGAGCTGTGACCCACCAGGAATTGAGTTTGAGAACCATGAGTGTGTTGTGATGGTTCAGCTTAAATATCCCACAAATATTTTTTTTATACCTCTTTAAAATTGCCTAATTTAGGCACAAAATGTGCCATTTTAAATTCAAATGAGCTAAAATCAACTGTGCACCAGAATAGCAGCAGATTCAAAACAGGACTAACGTTATCTCTGTACAAAACTGAAAATGATAAAAGAAGAGGCTCAGAAGAAGGCAGTCTATGGAGACTAAGGTGTTCATTTGTGCATCCTAACACTCCACATTTATAATACCTCTTAAGTCATTGACGGTATCTTCAACAGGTATGGTGAACACTCTAATAGCAAACGGCGGGGCTTTCCCCCTCTGATGACACGTACAAAGGGTTGAATGTCAAAGTGTTTCTGCAGACTGTTTTTATCAAGTGTGTTTATAAAAAAAAGCGGAAGAATACATTTTAACTATAGTAGCTGGATAGTCGCACACTGTCGCCACCTATTTGTGTTTAAACCCCTCGTAAAAGTGATTTTTTTGCAGAATAGGTCCCCTTTAAATATACTCAAACACTATCTGACCTCCTGCTGCAGAAGATTCCACTCGCTCTCGCTGACCAACCGGTATCCAGATGGGGGCAGGTAAGCTGTATCGGCTGTGTGAGAAATACTAGACAGAAGCGATGCGGTCTCCTCCTGCTCTGGGGTCATGGCCTTAATGGCCTTTTCTTGGTCCTTAGTGAGGAGAAAATGTCCCGGCTGGAGGGAAGAAATGGAGGAGGTGTCCATACTGTCAAAGCCCCCACAGTCTGCACCCACTAGAGGACCAAAGTCTGACTCGTCCAGCTGGCTGGCTGACTTGGCCTTGTTGTTGTGTCCGCCCAGGCCGTGAGGCTGTAAGGATCCTCCTGAAGAACCCAGGCTGTCTGTAGACTGGACCCTCCGAAGACCATCCTTATAAGGGTCAGAGCTGTCCGGGCGGCCAGGGGTGTCTGCGTCCAGAGAGTGCAAAGAGCTGTGAATACTGTGACTGAGGTGAGACTGAGATCAGAAGGAGAGAGAGAGAAAGAGAGAGAGAAAGAGAAAGAGATGAGCTGAAACAACCGCTGCAAAACAAGCTTTTAAAGGATAGTTCACCCAAAACTGAAAATTCTGTCATCATTTACTCAACCTTTACCTGTTTAAAACGCGTTTCTTTCTTTGGTTGAATACAAAAAAAAGAGATTTTGAAAAATGTTGGAAACCTGTAGGACTTCTATAGTATTTGTTTTTCCCACTATGGAAGTCAATGATTACAGATTTTCAGCTTTTCTTTAAATCAAAATATCTTCTTTTGTGTTTAACAGGAAAAAAGAAAAGCTCATGAAGGTTTGAAACCACTTGAGGGCAAGTACATTTTAATTTTTAGGTGAACTATCCCTTTAAAATTTTAAAATAAAAAACATGTTGGCACTTTACAGATGTCATGTAGTCGCATTATTTCCCATTTTTTTCACAAGGGATTTAATAACTCACAGTGAGCCAAAATCAATTAAAATGTAATCAGTTGGGTCGCTAACCTAATTGGAGTTCATGCTTTGAACAGAGGGCATTGTGTTGACAGCAAACTCGTTACACATGCAAAAAAAGTTGTAGCAGATATGGCCCGTTTTCACTGAGTGGTACGGTACGCTTTTATGGCCCTTTCCACTGTCAAAGGGTACCAAAAAAGCAAATTGTACTGTACCATTTTTTGGTTACCTTTTGTAAAGGGTACCTAGCATTACAAAAGGGTACCAAAAGGCAGAGTTGGACGTGCAGCTGAATGCTATTGGTATTACAAAGATACGTTACCCGCACGTGGACAAGCAGAAGAATGAAAACAAAGAAACCGTCATTTTTAAAAACACAGCCGAGAAATTACACTGTAATAATATATACAAAAAAATAATTAGCCATTGTTGACCCATGCTTAAATAAACTGTCATCGTCATGATGAACAGCCACAAAGCTAAAAAGAAGAGAGAGAGAGAGCGAGAGATCGCTGCACATCTATATTTGAAATAATGAACTTCTTGAGCTGATGATCATAACAAGCGCTTGATTATTGAAGTGCTTCTGACATCTGATCCTTTCAGAAACGGACAAATGCGAGTGAAGAGCAAAAAAACAAAGATGCAATTGATTGTTTCAGTAACCTAAACCATGAACAAACTGCCATGTTTAACTATTATCATCACCTTTTGGACTATTATGAACTCATTTATAATGTTCATAGAAAGGTTAGTAATGAACAGTTATACAGAAGTATTTGTATGAATAAAGTATCTTTTCTGTGAGAAGTGCTTCTCATATGATATGTGACCAACCTGTTTTTCCTCAAGCAAGAATGACGTCGACTGAAACTTTGTCGTACACCACGCATTGGTACCATTTTGGTAGTGGAAACGCAAGTCTGATAAAGGTGACTAGTACCAACCCGTACCATACCACTCAGTGGAAACGGGCCAATGGTGGCAATCCACAATCCTCAATCTAATCAGGGAAGTGCTGGCCTGCAGAAGACAGATGTCTGGCCCATATAGCTACACAGGCAGCATGACATACCACTTTATGTTCTTTGTTTGCTCTCCTTCAATTAATACGTTTTAACTCAATTGTAAAAAGTGGTGGAGATGATGTGCACTGAAGCGGAGATCACTACACATTATTATTATTATTATTATGTCTGCTCATCCCTATTTGTAGAGTACTCTCCACTTCAGTGTAAAGTCATCTTAGCTTTTTCAACTTTTTTTTTTATTACCAGTGTTACAAATTAAATCAATGACAGCAAAGTGCTAAAAGCATTATATTAAATTATACAAAATTATTATTATTTACAGTGCATCCGGAAAGTATTTATAGCACTTCACTTACTGCCAAAAAAATATTGTCTTGCAGCCTTATTCCAAAATGGATTTAATTAATTTATTTCCTCAAAATTTTTTGGAGAAAACCAGGCACCGCTGATTACCAAGCTAATACAATCCCTAAAGTAAAGCATGGTGGTGGCAGGATCATGCTTTGGGGATGTTTTTCAGCAGCAGGAACTGGAAGAATAGTCAGGATAGAATGAAAGATGAATGCAGCAATGTACAGAGACATCCTGAATGAAAACCTGTTTCAGAGTGGTTTTGACCTCAGACTGGGGCGAAGGTTTATCTTCCACCAGGACAATTACGCAAAGCACACAGCTAAAATATCAATGGAGTAGCTTCACAACTCTGTGAATGTCCTTGAGTGGCCAAGCCAGAGCCCAGACCTAAATTCTATTGAACCTCTCTAGAAAGATCTGAAAATGGCTGTACACTGTCGCTTTCCATCCAACCTGATAGAGCTTGAGAGGTACTGGAATAGACAAAAATTCCCAAAGACGGGTGTGCCAAGCTTGTGGCATCAAATTCAAAAAGACTTGATGCTGTAATTGCTGCCAAAGGTGCATTAAAGTATTGAGCAAAGGCTGTGAAAACTAATGTACTTTTCAGTTTTTTACATTTAAAAAAATTCGCAACCATTTCAAAAAATATTTTTTCATATTGTCATTATGGGGTTTTGTGTGGAGAAATTTGAGAAAATAAATTACTTTAATCCATTTTGGAATAAGGCTGTAACAAAAAAATGTGGAAGAAGTGAAGTGATATGAATACTTTCTAGAGGCACTGTGTATACTGTACATAATAAATCATAGATAAAAATAATATATATATATATATATATATATATATATATATATATATATATATATATATATATATATATATATATATATATTTTTTTTTTTTTTCTTATCAGCTGAGTACATTAAAAACGTGCAGAGATTTCTGCTTTTGCTTGAGATCTTAGTTCTTTTGCTTTTGTTTTATTGACTATTTATTTGATTTGGATTTTATTTTAAAATGGCATTTGTTTTTATTTTACAAAGAAAAGTGCAGCATTTGAAAAATAATAAGAGCGCTTGCTCATTTCTGAGGTCTCGACTCATTTTGATTAAAAAATATATCGTGAAATTAGTATTCCAAATGTGAATCAATACATCCCTAATTATCACTGTATTTACTTTAGTTTAGAAAATGGTAATAAAATATGACAAGAACCGAGATCTTGATATTGTCAGATAGATTGATAGAAAGGTACACTGTAATGGAATAAAATCAAACTTAAATAATTCAGACAACAGTTAGTATGACAATATTTACAAAGTTATCAACACAAAAATTACTGGTTGAGCTATACATTATCGATTAACAAAAAACGAATAGCCGCTGATTAGCTAAAACTTACTAAATTACATTAATTGAAATATGTGTTTGTTTTTTGATATCATCCCTGTATTGCACTCATACAAGTTTTGCACTAATACCTCTTCTATGGAGAGTCCAAGCAGCGAATCCTCCACTGCTTCCGCATGCTCCGTCCCATCATCCTCACTGGCCTCTTTAGCTTGACTCAATCGCTCCTGCTCATCCTCTTCCTGGACAAATAAATAAAAGTAGGAATAAATGCCATAATAACCCTGCAAACTATGCAGGTGCAGTGCAGTAATGCATTGAGACAAACCCTTATTACCTCTCATTTAGATGATCCACCCAAACATAAAACTCCTGCCATCAATACTCAACTTTAATGACTACAGGACATCAGTAATCAAATTAATCTCAATAAGAGAATAATGTGATTAAGGTGTTTACATGAGTTGCTTTCTGAATGTTTCTTTCATGATCCCGTTTTTTTGAAGTGGTGTTAGTGAGGCCAGCAGGGGGCGCTCAACCTGTGGTCTGTGTGAGTCCTAATGCCCCAGTAAAAGTGAAGGGGACACTAAACTGTCAGTGGGCGCCGTCTTTCGGATGAGACGTTACACCGAGGTCCTGACTCTCTGTGGTCATTAAAAATCCCATGGCACTTCTCGTGAAAGAGCAGGGGTGTAACCCCGGTGTCCTGGCTAAAGTCCCTCAATCGGCCCTTACGATCATGGCCTCCCAATCATCCCCATCCACCGAATTGGCTCCATCACTGTCTCTCCACTCCACCAACAGCTGGTGTGTGGTGAGCGCACTGGCGCCGTTGTCCTGTGGCTGCCGTCGCATCATCCAAGTGGATGCTGCACACTGGTGGTGGTGTGGAGAGACACCCCCCCCCCCCCCCCCCTTCATGATTGTGAAGCGCTTTGGGTGTACGGCCATACACAATAAATGCGCTATATAAATACACATTACATTACATGTTATGGCACATTATTCGATTAACGTCAATGCGTCACTGCGCTATCCACATTTCCTCTAGAGTTTCATGTAATTTTGGGCCTTTTATTTTTATTTGTTGACTCTAATTGCAGTTTGGCACTTTCACTTTCATTTAGGAACATTACATGCATGCCCCCCCGTGACAAACGAGATATTGGATGAGATATGAACTGCTGGAAGAGTGTAGTTTTAATTAAATTTGATACAGCACATCGTATGGGGAAAAAACCTTCGCGTTTTGCGTTGCAGGTGTCTGTGGTCCTTAACTGACTTGGTAGATGTAGAGAATAGTGTCAAACAGTCAAGCGTGTATAGACTATTCTGTGGCAAAATGTGGCGAAAGTCGTTTGAGGCGTTTATATGTCTGTACTGTACTATGTAATAATGCGATTAAAATTGGCATACTCCACATGTCTTAAATCCATTTCTGTTTAGTTCAATTATGACCTTAATCCGATTAAATTGATCAAAAAAATCACTGTTTACATGTTACTTTTAATGAGAGTATTGTCTTAATCTGATTAAAATCAGATTATTGGTGTCCATGTAAACATACTCAATATTACAAACCTGAATGAAGTGAACAAAATAAAGTGTGAATCATGGAACTGATTGACTAAAGCTGGCAGTAGTCAGTTCATTGGTAATATTCCCATTTCTTAAAGTTCTCGTGAAGTACTTTTAATGTACATTTTTTGTCTCGATGTTTGACAATCTCAACTAAAAAATGAAGAGAGGGTGGGACAGAGTTGCTCCTCCCCTTTTACAAAAACAGCTAATTATAGCGTTTAGTTTTTAATCGCAGCTCTGCCGGTGGGAGTGGTTGAGTTCAAGCGCATTGCATGAAAGCAAATGAGAAGCGTTTGAAAGGGGGAGGGGCATGTAAGATAGAGAGAATTTGATTGGTCATTATTTGATAAAAAATAACTGAAGTATGAGCTGACTTGGAAAAAAAATTGTTGATCCATTTAGAAGGTAGTGACAAACTACAAGCTTTCGATGTTTACATCAGGTTTATATCTTCTAAACGTTGTTTTGTAGCACATTCGCTTATAGATATCCTTAAAACTAACAGACTGAAACTAACATAAAAAATGTTTTATTTTAATTTCATGGGATATTTAATGACTATCATCTATATTTTCGTATGCATGCATGTAAATGAAAAAAAAAAAATTCTAAACTCAAAAACTGAAATATATTCTGCATACAACTCTCAATATGTTCCAATTGGCAGACATTTCATAAACTGTATGAGCCCAGTAAATTGCTCTTCTACAGTAAGCAACCTCAACTTTTTTTGCTTTTTTTATCTTATTTTTATTCTTTATAAAGTCATTTGGTTTATTTTCTGGCTCATTAAAATCTGATGTGGCGCAGTAGGTAGTGCTATCGCCTCACAGCAAGAAGGTCACTGGTTCGAACCTCGGCTCATCTGGCGTTTGTGTGTGGAGTTTGCATGTTCTCCCTGCCTTTGCGTGGGTTTCCTCTGGGTGCTCCGGTTTCCCCCACAGTCCAAAGACATGTGGTACAGGTGAATTGGGTAGGCTAAATTGTCCGTAGTGTGTGTGTGTGGATGTTTCCCAGAGATGGGTTGCGGCTGGAAGGGCATCCGCTGCGTAAAAACTTGCTGGATAAGTTGGCGGTTCATTCCGCTGTGGCGACCCCAGATTAATAAAGGGACTAAGCCGACAAGAAAATGAACGAATAAAACCTGATGTACCTGGTCCCTCTTCTTGATCTCCTCCACCTGCCGCAGCTGTTCTGAGGACAGCACACTCTCAATGCGCTGCATGTCTTGCATCAGCAGTCGCTGCGACTCCAGGAACTGATCATTGGCACGCTGCCAAGTGTGTTTCAGCTGATTGTGCTGCTGCCGCTCCAATTCCAGCAGGTGAACCACTGGAAGATAAATCACAGTTCAAACTGAAGGCTAATCAGCTAACCAGCGTTTAAAGACCTCTGGTCTGACAGAACTCTCTAGTAAAGCTTTATTCACCAGTGAAAATTACTTTGTGTAAATTTACACACTGATGTTAATGACATCTGATCATAACATGTCATTAGAAATATGACAATAAGCAGGACAAACACATATGCATGTATAACTTTACACTACAATTTTTGTGGCAGTTAACAACATATGACCCATGTTAGAGAGCATTTACACGGCATGCATTAAAGGTGCTGTAAGTTTTCATGTTTGCAGATATGTAAAAAACATGCTGAGTGAACATTCTTGTTTATCTAAAAAGCAAAGCTGAAGTCAGATATTCTGCTTTGAAAATGTGCATTCCATGCCGGAACGTCTGTCTTTGTTTTGGTTCTTTTATCCCACCCAATGGCAGTTTAGCCAATTATTTTTCAGCACCCTGGGTTGCCTTGGTAGAAAACCCGAAGAGGAAGGCTCTTAAAGCATGCGTCCATGACCGAAATGTGACCTCCGGTGGACAGTAAGAGCCTCGAAAATGAGACGCAGATTCAGAGTTCAAGATGAGATTATTAATTAGCAAATAATATAACTATTACGAACGTAAACATTAGATGAGCAGGTTACACACACACAAACACACACACACACACACACACGGTAAATTACATAACATACATATTTAATTATATAATTTAATCTGACATTCAATAGTAATCAGTCAAGTTTACAATAACAAAATAAAAAATACAAAACACATCTAAAAATAAGAAACAAACACATTTACATATATCCTCTAAATCTCTGATTAAACCCTCAGGTCACAAGAGCTTTAAAAACACAAGCCTTGCCCTGCTTTCTAAAAATAATCCACTGCGTGAGGAGGTTTCCATGAAATGACCAATCACCCAAAATAAGGAGAAAGCATCGTTTTACAAAAACAAATACACATTTTTCTATGAAAGCAACTTTTTGGAAATGTTTACATAAAGATTTAGGCTACACACCCTCGTGGAGTTCTTTCCGAAGTTTCTCTGCATCCTCTTGAAGGACAGATTTTTGGGTGTTCAGGACCGCAACATACATCTCCAAATCTGTGCGGCAAGACTTCTCAGCCTCCAGGACATGATTGAGCTCTTTCACCTTTAAATAAACCAAGCACATGTGTAAAAGTTAATTTTCCACAATCTCACGAATTCTTATGAAGAGTTCTTTACTAAATAAATAAATAAAAATCTTTATTTTAGAGACAGAAGAGTGTTTTACAGGTGGTTTGTTAAGCCTACTCACCTATTTGAAGGCAAATTATTATTATTTATTTATTTTTTTTTATATTTTTCAAACAATGTTTAACAGCGCACATAATTTTTCATAGTATTTTCTATAATATTTTTTTTCTTCAGGAGAAAGTCTTATTTGGTTTATTTTGGCTAGAATAAAAGTAGGCTTACATTTTTTTTTAAATCATTTAAGGTCAATTCAATGGTTCAATTGTCTACAGAACGAGCCACTGTTATGCATCGATTTGCCTAATTAACCTAACTTGCATAGTTAACTTAGTTAAATTTCCTACAGTAGTTAAGCTTTTAAATTGCACTTTAAAGGTGCTGTTTGTAAGCTTTTGATTCTTGTAAAGCATAAAAATACCAAAATATGTTTGCATATGACTTGCACATTACATTTTTAATCTAATAAACCGTAACAATTGTGGCTGTATGTTATATGATGGGATATTTCCGGTTCAAACACTTAAAAATACAGAGAATAGTTTTATTTTAAAAACATTTATTAAACATCCAAAAGGTGCACCATACTAATAAAATAAAAACATTTAACTGTAACTAATGCAAGCAGAAATGTAACTGTGATAAAAAATAGGGGAAAACCTGATAAGGTATTATAGCCTGCTGTACTATTCACTTTTCAAATAAATCTCACTATCAATATTATTTTATCATGGAAACTAAAACAAAGTGAACTATAGTGTCTGCTGTCTTCAAGATTGATGATGAGATTGTGGAGGACATTTTCTCTGTCACTCTCTTCATTTTGAGGAGAAGCTGTTCCACAGGGCCCCTGAACACACATATTGACATGTACTGTTTTAAACAGTACTATAATAAAGTACTTTAATTACTCTGCTGTGGTAATGCTATATATGCTATGGTAACACAATAAGTATAATATAAACAAATTACACAGTGCTGTAGATGTTTTTTTTACAATATTGGGTGTATTATTCTACAATTCACCACACTTTACTGCTGTTAAACTACACTGTATTTCATTTTATCAGTTCACTATTCTTAATACTACAGTATGCTAAAGCATCTCTGGAGAGCAAAAGCACGAAAGGGGGAGAAAACACAAGACACAAAAATGCATAGTCTAACGAAGCGAGAGCAGATTTTTCGCAAGTGAGCAGACAGTGTTTTGAGAACTCGCAGGCAGTTTTGTCCACGAACAGAAGAAAACCGTATTGAAATATCGTATTGAAAGTGCTCCACACTTGTAATACTGCGCATAAGACATTTGTCAGTGAAATAACGGCATACTCCGCCAGCCGAAATCATGTGGCGCATACCCACAGCGAACCTCCGCATCAAACACAGCGATAACGTCACATTCAATGCACACACTAAGTTAATAACAGAAAGCTGATTGGCTATAGCAAGTTGACCTCTTTGTAGTTGTAATACCGCAAATTACAATTGGACTAGTGAAATAAAGTACTACAACACCACGAAAACCTAGCAACAGCAACAACAACAACAACAACAAAAAAGACTTTAAATGAGCATTAGATGTAGCATTACATGGACATCGGAAAAAAAAGACCTGTGCAAAAATAATAGTATGTCCAAGAACAGCGAATTTTTGAGACTTTAAGGCCTTAAATTTCGATTTAAAAATTTTAGACTTCTTAAGACCCCCGCGGAAAACCTGTTAAATGTAGATGCTGAATCACTGATATGTGTTGGTTTGCACTGAGTCACCGTTTTAAAGTTCAGTTTCAAACGGTTTATTTTATTTTCAAGATCTGAGGTGAACTATCTGCTGTTGCTTTCAGCTGAATGGCAAAATGGCATTTTTAAAACTCACATTATTAGCATTTAACACTGAATAAAGCACATGAGGTGTACCTGAGGTGATCATTGTCAGTTTTCTGTTGTTCAGCTGCAAGAAATAAAAGCCGTTTCTAATATATTAATTTCAGGTGTTGGTTGGAACAAAAGCTCCTTTTAATATGGAGAATATTCCTTCGATCGCGTGCCGTTGCTTTTATTTAGAACATGACTTAAATCAGCCTTTAGGCTCGATCGTCCGATCAGCTCCTGTTGGTTGTCAATCTGGCAGGAATGCGTTTGTTTTGATTCAGGAATGTAATACTTAGTTCAACCACTGGGTGTCAAACTTACATACTGCACCTTTTAGCTGAATCTTAGTATCTTGAAAAATATCTAGTAAAATGTTATCTGCTGTCATCATGGCAAAGACAAAATAAAACAATTACTAGAAATTAGTTATTAAACTGTTGTTTAGAAATGTGTTAAACAGAAATTGAGGAAAAAATATACAGGGGGCAAATAATTCAGGAGGGCTAATAACTTTACTTCAACTGTAAAAATAATGTATTCAGACCAGTGTTTTTCATGCAATAAATGTATAACATATTGGATGTTTTGAATTTGAATACATTTAAAAACAGAATGTGAAACACTTTTTTTACAGCTCTTCTTGTTGTACTGAACAGATTTTTTTTTTTATTCCATTGCCCCAGGTGCAAATTTGCTTAATCAGGTGGTCACGATACGCATATAAAAAGAATGAAATGATACATAAATGTGTCACGTCTAATAATAAACATGAACAAAACAGTCTGGCTCTCAGTTCCACTTTTTGATGCACATCTAACCTTGGCAGCCTCCAGTTCCTTAACTCGATCTTCTGAGCTTGACAGTTTGGCTTTCAGCGCTGCGATCTCGCTCTCCATCGGCATCACCACCGAACGGAGCTTCTCTGCGTCCTCTTGAGCCTAGATTAACACAAACCATCAAACGAATCAGAGGGGAGAAAAAGAAAAAACTAATCCGCTCTGCATAATCACTTTCACACTTCAAAGTAGCAACATTATAAGACGTTTGGCAGTGCAATGAGTAAGCCATGTTTCTTGTTTCCCATGTTGTTTGTATTCTTACACAATATGTGAGGTATTTACTGAGCATTTAGGACTTACTGTATATCCACTGTACCATTCATACCCATTTTCATATTTAAATTTTTGTTTTTCTTAATTTTTTTTTACTGCTGGTCATATTCATTATACTTCTTACCCACGTTTATTTCTGAAAGAGATTGTAAACCGTATTCACTGAGCATTTAGGACTTACAGTATCTACTGCATCATTCATGAACCTTTTACATATTTAAAATGTATGTTTTTCTTAATTATTATTTTTTTGCTGCTGGTCTTTTTCATTATACTTCTTACCCACGTTTATTTCTGAAGGAGATTGTAAACCCTATAAAAAACGGTAACTGCATGAATACCATAAAATCACATAATAGTATGATAGTGATGTAAACGCTGTATGAGACATCTCTTTGTTTTTATCATTTTTTTTAATTATACGTTTTTTTTATGTATTTTACATTTATTTATTTTTATTTGATTTATTTCTGTATTTAAAATATTAATAGTTGTGTGTGTGAATGTTAAAATTGTTGAAAAAAAAAAGTCTAGCAGGCTTTAAAATAATAATAATAATAATAATAATAATAATAATAATAAATAAAAATAAATAAATAAATAAATAAATAAATAAATAAAAATTAACCCTTATTTTTTTAGTACCTTACTATAATCAAGGTTGACCAAAGTGCTTTACACCAGTATGAACAAATTATACAACACAACAAAAAAGCAAACAATGCAAAAACATAACAATGACAAGATTACCGTGTCATGAACAGTGAGGACCAAGCAACATCTCAAAGTTCTTTGAAAACCAGACCAAAAAGTGATGTGCACTTCTGTGTAAAGTGTATTGTTTTTTTTTTTTAAAGAATTCATAGTTTGACACAGAATAGGATGATTTTGTAGGGAAGCACAAAATCTGCAAAAAATATCCAAATTATCCCAAAATACACAATTAAAAAATAAATAAATAAATGAATAAAAAAAAGGAAAGAAACAGCACTTTATGGTTTTCTGTGGAGTCTAAGGGTGCTTTCACACCTAGACTTTTGTTTCAGAGCCTGTCTCGTTTGCCCAGTTAGCGCGGTTCATTTGGCATATGTGAAACCAACAATCGCACGTGGATCAGTGCCAAATTAATTGGTCCGAGATTGCCTGAATGAGGTGGTCTCGGCTGGATTGAAAGGAACTCTGGAGCGGATCGATTATAGTGAGAAAGCCAAACGATCCGAGCCTGGCTATATCACAGTGTATTATGGACATGTAATAGGCATATATACGGCTATATGAAGAGAGAATTGAGTAGGGCAGGATGTCATCATTCCTACCGGTAAATCAAAACAATATTTGACCAAACTGCAGTCTAGCCGAGGACTCCGTATGAGAAAGTCTTACCTCTGATTTCTATTTGGTGATGTTGAATGTGGGCATCACCCATCAAAATTAAAGTGCAGCTTTCCGCTAATAATGTCTTATTGCCCATCGCTATACATTAAGATAAGGATGTATGACAGCTGAGTGGAAATCTGCTAAATAAACCATGAAACTCTCACCAATGTAAGGAGAGTTTACTCACACGTGACTTGTTTTAGCTCTTTTGGTCCGTTTAGTGTGAAAATTTGCCATGTGAAAGCGAACCACACCAAGAACTAAGAGCAACACTATAACTATTTTAATCCCTGTTTCGAAACAAATGAATCGATTCACAAGTGTGAACGCACCCTCACAGTATTGATGTACAGAAATTGAGTAATCAAACAAAAAAATAACATGTTCTGTGGTTTGGCTATTTAAAATAATTTCCATCGTGAAATGATATATTGTGGAGCTCTAGTCATCATTCTATAAATATTTAATAAAATAATAAACAATCTAATCTTGCGATCATGTGACTATTGGATACACATTGTAATATCGATGATCAAACGATATATTGTTCAGCCCTAGTAATAACACTACAAGAGATTTAAATAAAAACAGCAAAACATTAAAACAGAGCAAAGTGACAGTGCTACTATGCATTTAAAGCCATTTTGAACAAGTGGATCTTAAGCTTGGCTTAAAAAAAAGAAAATCATACCTTCTTCATCTCGTTCTCTAAATTTTCCTCCTCCTGCCCTTCAGAAAGACGGCGGCGAAGCTCGGCTATCTCTCGTTCTACCCCGTCGCGGTACTGTGTCCATTGTGCCCGCTCCTGCTCCAACTTCTGCTGGAACTGCAATTTAAATTCCCGCTCTGCATCTGAACATGCAAGTGAAGATAAGGATTTACACATCAAAAGAAATCTCTTGAAAATGGTGATCAAAAGCAGAGATCTTGCTAATCCTTCCTTGACCAAAAGAGCTTATTTGTGACGTTTGAGATGGAATAGGGTTTAAACTTAATGTGAACCCACAGAAGCACTTCTGGTTTCTGTGACTATACATCATTTTTTGAGTTCATTAAAAACCATTAACAACCTATAAGGGAATACTTTGAGGGTTTTTTTTTTTTTTTACATTGGCTTAATTGCCATATCAGTAACTTATGGATTTTTCATTGCAAGATCAATATAGATAGATATATACAACAATCAATACATCAATATAGACAATTTCATAATTCAATAAACGACAAAACTACTATACTAAATAAATAAATAAATTGCACTGAAACATTAGAAATGACTTTTCAGTGCGATATAAAAATACTTAAAATATTAAAATTAAATTAAAGAAATATTTTAAAATTCTTACCAGGGATACATTAAAAAACTTGTCTAGTTTAATAAGACAATACTTTTTTTAAACTTTATTTTACCTATTTTTATGCACATTTTGGATATGTACATAAAAAAAATTTTGGAAACACAAAGATGTGCATGAATTTATAATAATTAGTAATTAATAATAATACATTTCTGCGCATAACTGGGAAGGATAAACTTGTTTTTTTTGATAAGTGAAAATCGTAGTTCCCGCTACCTCCCATTCGCTTCATTCGCCTAAGCAAACTTTTCTCAGAAATATAATTTTATTGAGTCATGCGCCTACGGTAATATTGAAAAAAAATTACTATTGCGGTATGACGGTATTTACAATATTGTTACATCCTTATTATATATATATATATATATACATACATATATATACATACATATTATATACACACACACACACACACACACACACATACATATACATACATACATACATACATACATACATACATACATATATACATACATACATATATATATATACATACATATATATATACACACACACACACAAACACACAGACACACACAGGTTATATTTCAGAGCTCACAAGCACTTTTGTCATATTCCTCTTGTGTAATGTGGCATAGTTCACAACAACCGATAAAGTGTCTGCGATTGTGACACAAAAGTCTAGCACGTTAAATTTTCTGAAACATAGTGGACTGGTTTTGAAGATATTATTCGTTATTTTAGTTTACATATATACATGTATATTTTATATTGCAGCCCTTGCGATTAACTAATCCCAACGTTTCAAATTGAAGTGATATGATTTCTATTAATCGCACAGCCCTAACTACGAGTATATTTCAAACCTGTGGGAAGCACAGTAATCTATAAGGAAGTGAAGTTAATCATCTCTTTGACTCATCGAATGGAAACGTTCGTAAATTTTTTATTCAATATTCCAGCATTTTGCAAACATCTAATTAGCATCTTTGGATGGAAACAGCTACTGCCACATACCCTAAAACAACAAATCAAAAGAATTGGCTTCAAACGGCACTCTCGTAATATTATAAATGTTCTTACTGACAGTTTTCATCCATTTGATCTTTCCTTCCTTACAGATAATGGTATAATTGCATTGTTATTAATGTGTTTCTACTAAAAAATCTATTTAATTTTATAATTACCCAAAGGAATATTACTATTGTAAATCAACTTGTCTGATGAATAATTTTAGTCAACATTTCAAATAGCAAAAACAAACCAATCCATACAGCTTGCAATTGTTATCGGACACTTTCTGTCTCTTCTTACCTTTCATAATAGCTTGCAGTGACGCCACCTCCTCCTGCCAGAGCTGCTTGACCTGGTCGATGGCTTCCTGCTTTGTGCTCTCCGAAAGGGTGGCGACGGCTTTGATGGTCTCCATCTCCGCTTTAGCATCGGCCAGCTCCTCTTGCACACTACACATCTCTGCCTGGGCCTTCTCCAGTATAGCAGTCTGCCTCTTCAGCTCCTCTGAGATTACGTTGAGGGCAAAATTACTAGTGCAATTTTTTGTTCTTTTAAAAGTATTTCTCAAATGATGTTCACAGAGAAAGGACTTTTTCCACAGTATTTTCCATTAATTTTTTTTCTGAAGAAAGTCTTGTTTTATTTCAGCAAGAATAAAAGCATTTTTTTTTTACTATATTAAAGGAATTAAAATAGTTATTATATTCTCAATTTTATATTCGTTATTTTTTTCGACGGTCAACAGAAGAAACCATGCTTATACAAGGATTTGCCTAATAGCCCTAACTTGCCTAATTAACCTAATTAAGTCTTTAAATGTCACTTTAAGCTGAATGATAGTATCTTGAAAAATATCTAGTCAAATATTATGTACTGTCATCATGGCATCAATAAAAGAAATGAGTTATTAAAACTATTATGTTTAGAAATGTGTTGAAAAAAATCTTCTTTCCTTTAAACAGAAAATATACTGGAATTTGTACAAGAATTCTGTACTTTGAAAGCCTATTTGGATTGAAATTGCTTCTCATGGGGATGTGAAGCAATTTCATAATTTACAAGGGCTAATCAGTGATTTGGTCTGAATATAAAAAAGCCGGTGATGTTTTTTTTCATTGTACTATCCATAAAAATATATTTTTTATTTTTTGTTTCTGAAAACAAATGAAATTAAAATCTGATGCAAGTCATGGCAGCTTCATCTTGCATTATGACATGAATGGGTGCAAAGACAAAAGGATTTAAGATTATAATGTTGTAAACAGGGCTTTATATTAACACCCACCAACCCGCCAAATGCGGGTAGATTTCAGCTTTGGCGGGTTAGAAGGACAATCCCACTAGCCACTTTGGCTGGTTGAAAATAATTTTTAAATTGTAGTTTTCCTAAAAGCAGGGTTCGACAATATAAGGATGGCCTAATATGTGTGCAAGTGTAATCTTAGAATCGAGAAGTACAATAATTGTGTTCACGCGAGCAGAAGAAAGCAAGTGAATACCAAATGAGAGAATGATGATCCCTCGCGCTAACAGCTGATTTGATGCACGCGACTTCTTCAAACGCGTGCGCGCGACTGCTTAACGCGTGCACGCTGCCGAATCGTGAAGCAACCGAGTCTGGAACAGGTTCTGGAAACGCAACTGTCATCGGTTCTCTTTCAAATAAACTAGACAAAAAGTGATGAACATGCACCCGCAGCACCGTTTGCTTTCACTTTGAAAAGATTTTTAAATGGCCTAAAGTTAACCGTGTGCATGTGATCCTTTCATTATCACATACGGTATGTTTCACCTGCTTTTATTTGCTTACGGTTTTATTTGCTTTTATTTTTGTTAAAATGGTTTAATTATTATAATTTTTTTTTACAATGTTGCTTTAATGGGAGATGAACTCACCATTTATGTGCAGTTAACTGGTAATCCGAGAGATCTTTAGCCATGACAGATATATGCATATTTTTGATACATGGCAATAGTTATTTTTTTAAAAGTCAATTGGTTTTTATTATTTTTTATGCAATTTTGGTAAATAAATATTTTGTTAAATAAAAAGTATAGTATACAGTTATATTTAGCTTGTTTTGACACATTAAAAATTTGTGGCTAAGAAATAAATATTGTTTTGTGTGGTTATAGAGATAAATTTGGTAAATCATTAATTTTGAGCTCTAAAAAAGTCATGTGAAATAAAAACTAATTGCAATATAACACTATTTATAATGACCCATTTGCTCACGCTCATTGAGCAAGCTCATACTCGATACACAAAAAGTGAAATGAATGAGGACGCATGTGGAGATAACACAAAATTTACATCAAGTAATTATAGCATGTCAACGTCAAATTTATGCATATAAAATATATTTTCCCCAACAACAAAATTGTGGCTAGTGAAAATGCAGAGTGGCTAGTAACATTGGAAAACTACTAGCCACAGTGGCCGCTAATTAAAAAAGTTAATGTAAAGGCCTGGTTGTAAATAATGTGTAGTTCCTTGCACAGACTGATGATTTTGCCAAGCATTTGCACTGTATTGTCAGATGCCACAGAATTAATTTGGTTTTGGCGGCATTCTTATTTTTAACTCTGAAATTCTGATTTGCCTGAGAACAGGAAAAAAAAAGGAAAGTAAACAGTACATGGTTCTGACTAGGGCTGCACAATATCACAATATGATCGTCAATGCGATAATAGTATGCAATATACATATAGCAGACATGTGTGATGAATTAAATGTATATTATTTATTGGGGGTTTCTGTAAATTTGACCAATCAGATGGGGCCTTGCTCTTTTTATGCCCGGCTCTCCAGTAATTGTTGTTCTGCTTATGGCTGGAGCGACCCAAAGGTGAACCCGGAGCTAAAAATAAATACTAATGGCAGGAAAATGAGGAACATGACAACATCTAATCAGCGTCAAAATATCTGCTTAGATTTTCAGTGTAAAAAAGGCTAAATGTTTGCCACTTGACATATTTTTTTGTCTGAATTAGATCTGAAAAAAAAAAAATTATTATAGCTATGGTAGTAGTAATAATAATAATAATAATAATAATTATATATATATATATATATATATATATATATATATATATATATATATATATATATATATATATATATATATATATATAAACATTGAATAAATTATTTAAAACATGGCTAATAAAATTAGCCTTTTTCTAGGAAAATGTTATCATTATCGCAATACTCAACAACAATATAGCATACCGCACATTTTTGCAGTATTGTGCAGCCCTAGTTCCTACACTTTTTATATTTAAAAAAAAAAGTATTTAAAACATTTAAATATTTTAACCTATTTAGTAAGACAAAAAATTAGGAAAGCAAAAATGTAAATTTCAAGCAATTTCAAGCACTTTATTCATTTTTTTAAAATTCAGGCATTTTCAAGGATAATTTCCGGCACCCAAACAAACCCAAGTTAGTAGCAAATCTTCATTTTTTAATTTATTTTTTCAAGCATCTGCGAGCAGCACACAATATTCACAGAACTCACACCTTTATCATGCAGGACTCATTCAAATGCACAGGTTTTATCATTGTATTATGGAAATATACTTGAACAGACATGACAATTATCAGCCGAACATGTCTTTACTATACAAACTAACTATGACTTTTCATTAAAGGGATAGCTCAGAAAATAATACAAATTTACTCACTATTTAGTCACCCTCAAGTTGTATCATACTACTTTTTGAACTTGTTGAACACAAAATAAGATATTTTGAAGAAAGCTGAAAGCCTGTAACCACCTCCATAGTAGGAAAAACAAAGAAGTCATACTATAGAAGTTACAGGTTTCCAACATTTTTTTTCTAAAGACAAGGGGCGGGTTAATGATGACAGAATTTTCATTTTTTGTTGAACTATCTCTTTAACTGAATTGTTGCACCCTGTTTGCACTCATATTACTTCAATATGAATAACCCAGGATGTTTGCTCTAGATGCAAGCGGATCGCTTAGTTTGTAATGTCTGAAACTGATGTGTCTTCTGTACACTTTCACCATGGAATAAAGATATACGGAACAGCTAAACTGTTTACTTCTTGTTCAATCTTCTGTAACTGTGTGCATTCACATGTGATGTGTACAGAATAGATGAGAACTAGCTTGAGGAAAGTCAGCAATTAAAAAAAAAACAATTTTTTTCTTTTGAAAACCACAAATTAAGTTAAAAAAATACAAGTTTCTAAGAATTTTTGGACTCCAGAGGCACCAAAATAGAAACTAAAAAAGGATAGTTCACACAAAAATAAAAATCTGCTATTTATTTCCTCTCCCTCGGGTCATACAAAGGTAAATGATGATGGTAGGTGACTTTTGCCTTCATTAGTTAAAGAAGATTTTAACTGAAACTGTGGTCTCGGATTCATAACATGCAAGCAAACCTCTACTGGCACTTAGACAGACAGACAGACAGACATATATTTATTAAATGTAGCTTATATTATTATATTATTAGTATTACCTTACCTTCTTTAGACAGATAGAGTTCTTTAAACTTGGCCCGTTTTTGGTTGAACTCCATCTCCAGCTGTTGTTTGAGCTTCAGGAAGTCGGTTCGATCCTGCTCCTGTTCAACCCCTACCAAAGTAGCACATCATTCATGAGTAACATGCATTCATAGATATATACACTAGATATCGCGTAGGGACCCTGAGCATGCGTCAATAGCGCCGCCACATTGATACAGTGCTCCCAGGACAAATGTCATTCAACTGCACTAGTCAATACAGTGTTATTACGTGAAGATGCTGGACTTTAGCGCTAACAAAAAAAATAAAACAAAGCAAACAAAGAAAATAAAGCACAAAGGCAGAACATTTCATTGGTAATATTAAGTTTTTTTCGGTTTTTGTATGTTCTGAACTTTTGTGCTAATCGGGTAACGTTATTGATGATAATACAGTCACTTACTGCATTCACCATAAGACAAAGTAGCTCCAACTCGCACTAAACACTCGACTTATGCTAGTTTAGTTTAATAAAATCAGCAAACAATGCAAAGGAAATATGACAACAAGATGCTGCGCTGCCAGAAACTTGCATTATTGTCGGCTAGTGAACGAGTCGTTCGGGGATTCATTCACAAACGAGTTGCTCCCTCCGTCAGTATGAGAAGTGAAAGCAGGAGAGGAGGTGTGTGTCAGGACATGATTAGATCAAATTAAACAGGGAGGGTGAATAGTACATTTCTGTACACACAAACACAAACTTTTTGTCAGGAATGCCCATGCGGTCACTGATCCATCAATGTAGAAAAGTGATGTAAAAATATAATTTTCGTGATTAGAAAAAAAATTACATACTAACATCCAGGAAAACTCCCAATCATAGATATATGTGTATATCTCTGGCTTTGGATGGCCACAGTCCTCCACTGTACCTTGGTCCCGCATTCAATTAAGGAGCGCTACCCTATACCAAGATGGCGGTGCTATTGATGCATTCCGTCCAATAAACAACAATAGGCCAGGCGAGATCTAATGTATATATCTAGGACATGCATTCAACAAAAACACACACCTCCAACCTCTCAAGGGCACTGTGACTCTTTACATCCAGCAGTAAAATGTGCGTCAACCTCCAATTAACAAAGAAAAAAGTTTTCTGACAGAAGCAAGGTCACTTGACGGGTTCAGTATGCATATAACATAAGTCTGCAAACATTTACTGTAAATAAAAATAAGACTTTCGACAGTAATTTCTTCTGGGGCAGGGGGATGGTGGGAGGTGGTTGGTCGATCACTTATGTTTAGGTCTTAGTGATCTATTGAGATCACTGGAATATTAGAAATGTGGATATAGCAATGGCATTTGTTTGTAGTAATAAATGAAAGGACATGCTGGTTTTCGTTCCAAAAACTGATTTTAGGATTGATGCTGAAATACTGTGTGTCTGACAGTTTTTTTACTGTATGTTCGGAAAGCAACAAGACAGAAAATAATACACCATGTCCGAACAACACAAGATGCATTGCTGCGACATAATAAAAGCGATCATTTCCATGTTAAAAGGAGTTTTTTTTTGTGGCCATTCACGATGTGCGAGGATTCTGTTTAGAAACGGTTTCCATTTCTGTGACATTTTGGCTGTACAACAGCATAAACTATGTTTTTTTATTCATTTTTTCTGTTATTTATTTCTCATTTTCACCAAATCTGCAAAGTATATCAAAAGTGTTCGTCAGATCTCTAAAGATGACTGATGACAACACCCATAGCAAGTATTAGCCTTTAGGGCTGACAGAAGGCTATCTGAACTTATTCAAAAAAAAATGTAGCTCAACGAGATCATAACAGCATGTGCATAGGCTTTCATAACAATTGGAAATAACTGTTCCGATAAAACATAATCAGTCATCATCCATAATAAGGACTGGGCAGAAATATTTCTGATTGAGGATTAATAAAATAAATTAATAAAAATGATCCCGTCGATTTAAAGGGGAAATGAAGCACTCAGTCAAGGTTACCTTATTTTGTACATTGGATTCCACTTTAAACAAACTCGATTAATGTAACTATTTAAAAGAAAACGACGTGTTTTACTATAGATTTTAGACCCCGGGCGCCACCATCTTGGAATGTCGCTGTGTCTGACGTCACGGGGTTGATTCTGTTCCCTCTGCTGAACAGATACAGTGAAGACAGTAAAGCCTAGTTTAACCCAATGCGCGAAGATGTAGATGTGGAGCTGCTGCAAATACAAGCATCAGATGTGTGTCTAATATAAAAAAAATATATTGATTCTATTTTTCTTTTTTTTACCTTTTAATTACTGATCATTTAATGCGCTTTGATTCACTCTCTGTATTACACTGCCTGACTGGGTTTCACCCATGATTGTAACAGACTGAACACAGAGACTGGACAGCCTAACGCCCCATTCACACGGGGCTTCAGCGTCAACGCTTGACTGAGGGCGTGTCTGAAGTTGGGGCTGAAGCGATCGTCATATCAGCATGAGCCAATAAATTTCAGTCAGCAATAGGCCACTGTCTAGCTGGTGTATTTGCATACAGCGATCTGATTGGCTGACGCTTCCGTCGGCACTTGAAAAGTTGAGCTAGTCCAACTTCTGCAGCGAGCAACCCCTCTGAAGCGGCGCCGACGGATCCATAATGCAGTTCGGCAACGCCTGACATCACCCATTCAAAGTGAATGGAAAGTGTTGACTGAACTCAATGATAAAGTTGTGGATGTGCATCACAAAACTGGTGAAAATACAACAAATACAAGCATTTAAGTGTCTTCAGTTGCGTCTTTTACACACACAATAGAGAAAGTAATTAAAAAAATTGACCTAGAACAATCCAAACGATTACAGGTTCTGAATGTCGATTTTGATTACTTTTCGATTAATTGCTAAGTGATTAACTGCGATTAGTTCCTAATCGAAACCCAAAAAAGGTGATGATATTAAATTAATTGATTAATATTAAAAAGAAAGTGTGACTGTAAATATTGTGTATTTTTTATAGTTGTATTTATAAATATTGTAAAAGGGCTCATATAAAATACAACAGCTAATTGGTATAGGAAAATTTAAGACCTTCAAGTCACAGAAATATAACTAATGAAGATGTAAATTTATCAAATGCAAATTTATAGGGTAACAGCTTGAAAAAGCTAGCAACAGTTGAACCAAAATAGCATTGAACCATAATAAATACAATAAAACAATGAGAGTTTGGTAAGTACCTTGCTTCTGAAGTCATGGTTCAGTGCATTTTCCTTACAGCAGGGCAGGAAACTAAACTTTAAACTGCTGTTTTTATTATTATTGTAATTATTATAATAATTATTAATCAGTGGGCTGCAGTACAAATTGTTATTGTCTAAAAATAATACAACTTATAGCTAGTTTTCAAAAGGTTTGTAAAATGTCACACAATAAAACATGCACAAAATGATTTATATACCTTCTGATTATGATGCAAAATAACTGATACTCCTTATCATTATTTTTTTCAGTATCTTATTTTCCACAGTGTTCTTAATTCAAATGTTCACCCTAAATATTTAAAACAAAAACATTTAACTCAATTGTAAATTGATTTATATTGTACTACTGAATTAAAAAAATATATATGAAGGACATATTATTTTTTGTGATTGTAATATTTTTTGTTATGGCTTTAAGACTTTCTGCTCTGATTCAAGACTCTAAATTGCAGGAGACTCAAAGAAACCCTATACATATTATTAATAAAATCTTCATGTAATCACAAAATCACGTCTATATTACTGATCTTTTAGTCATACTGTGCATTAGGACTTCAAGTTAAACTTAAGCTACAAACTACATCCCATTTACCATATTATAAACTGCTTCAAAGTACATAAACATTAACATAGTTCTGCTTATGTGGCAAACTCTAGATGCATGCGAATCATGTGATCATTACAAACAAGAGCCTGTACATATAATTAAGCACGTAAAATACAATTATTTCGTAAACAACACAAAGCCCTGTCTGTCCTGATACTCTAAAACACTGTCAGTCCAGCTGTCATCTGCTGGTCACACTGCCTACAACATCATCATGGTCACCATAAAAACCCGTTTCTGTGTACCTGAGGTTTAGCACAAGCCATGCTTTTCACAAGAGGAGCTCTGTCATAATTACAGACACGAAACAAGCATTAAAGCATCATTTGAGAGAGGCAAAAAGCACTGTATCTGTCAGCCGGCTGACTGTTGCTGGCTAATCCGTGGACGAACAGGCCGCGGGCCTACAGCGAGCACAGCTAAATCAGCACAATTTAAGTCTCCTTATGGAAGAAAACGCCTACCGTCGTGTTGAGGCGGCCGGGTGGATCCCGAGGCCTGCTCGGCCATGGTTTCCCGGGGTTGAGTTTAGAAAAGCGGCTCTCTGAAGGAAAGCGAGGAGCGCCCAGCAGAACTGGCTACTAGAGACTGAGCAACGTCATTGTAGAAATAACACGCGTTGCGCATGCGCAGATGGGCGGAGCTGTCTGCTGGTAAACTGATAAATTCATGATTTACCAAGCCTGGAGGACACATTTAGTTTGCTTATGCAGTGCTTAGCATAATTGAGTGCACTCTATTTTAAAAATGAATATTTTTATCCATTCCTCAGTGAATGTAGGCAATGCATTTTGGTGCATTTAAACAAAACAGATTTATTAAACAGATATATTTAATAAAATAATATTTTAGTCAATAAACACATTAAGAAACTGAAAGATAATATAATTAAATTCAAGCTAAATATTGCAAAAAATATTTTTTTTTCAAAATTTGTATTTAATAATTTTTTATAACATAAATTTGGCTGCACTAGTTTTTAAACCGTTATCGTGAGTTATTTTGTTAGATAAGCTCTGGATTTGGCTTCAGTACTGACCTATAATGTATATGCACAAATATAATATTGTATAGCTTCCTATTAAAATATGAATTTAAAAGATAGATTTGTGTGGGGTGTACTTATATATGTGGAGGACTGTATATTTTAAAATTCTATACTGTGCATATCTATGTCATTTAGCACTGATATATAAAGCACTTGTGGTTAATAAATAATTTAATATTTAGATGCAACAGCAATAATGTCACCTCAAGAATAAAAAACAACAAACAATAAATAAGAAGTGAATAAATAAATAAAGCAATTTTACAAGGTGGTACAATTAAAACATAAAACAGTTAAAACACAAACAAGTAAATAATGATAGGATGGGGTTGCACAACTGAATTCATATATTACCAATTATATTCCAATATGTTTTTGTTCATATTCCATCATATAAAATGTCTATAAACAACTAACTAACTAACTAACTAACTAACTAACTAACTCATTTACTCACTCACTCACTCACTCACTCACTCACTCACTCACTCACTCAATCATTAATGAACATCAACCACTATAATATAATATATATTTTTTATTTATCAAAAGAGTAAACCCACAGTTTAATGTATGTACAGTACATCACCTAATTAGGCATGAGACGATAACTGTTTTCAAGGTTTACCGCAGTTTGGAAAGTCAAGGTTTTAAAGCTGCCAAAATGTTCTGCCAACTATCCTATATGGCATATGTACGATTTTTTTTTAAAACTCTCTTTTTTTGTTTGTTTGTTTTAGGACAACAGTACCTTCAGCAGAAAATATATCCAAAGTTTTAAATTGTAAAGAAATTTGTGTTTTTGAAACTAATGAAGGCAGCAGAAGTCAATGATGCATTTGTATTGTTTAGCCTAACATGTTTACTGGTTTACATACTTTAAATGTTTCTCAAAATAAAATATATTGTGTTCAAAGGGGAAAAAAGTTTTTGTTTTTTACCCAGATATTTAAAAAGAACAAATTTTAGAGCAGTGACCACAATATCGTGATACCGTCATATATATGCCTACACCCAATACAACCTAACAAAATTGCTGACGGTGCATTCAAAATACCTGAGCAGGTGCAAATTGAAGTAATTTAGTAAATGCACATCCACTATAAAGTAACAAACAAAAACTTGAATACAAAATTTTGAGCTGCAGTCTAACCAGGAGTACAATAGCAGCAAGTGCAGGATATAGAAATAAGTTATAAAGTGCAATTATAGAAAAACTATGGGTAATTATTACAGATGGATGTACTATGAACATTATTACAGGTTGTATTAACTATGATCAGAGATTTACATTAGATATTACATTAATATTTGTACAGGTTGCTATTAACAATCAGAAGTATGCAGATAGATATGAACATAATTACAAATGTAGCCTATATGTGCAGTGGATGTGTACAAATGCTAAAATTACAGGCAGAATAAAATAAAAAGACAGCAAAACAAACAAACAAACAAATTATAAACCACAGTAAATTAAAAAAAATAGTTAAATAAAATAAAAAAATAAAAATAAACAAATAAATAAATAAAGCAAATAAACAAACAAACAATCAATCAAGCAAACAAACAAACATTTAAATAAACAAATACATAAACAAACAAATAATAAATAAATTAATTAATTAATAAAATGAATAAAAAATAGATAAACAAACAAATAAACAAACAAACTAAAAAATAAATAACTAAATAAATAAATAAATAAACCACGCACTTAGAAACGTTTTTTTTAGTTGAGCCTATTCGACGCCTGGATTCAGTTGTATTAAAAAAAAGGAGAACTACTAATTTAGCTCTCTCTCTCTCTCTCTCTCTCTCTCCCTCTCTCTCTCTTTCTCTTTCTTAACACCCAACGCACAAGCCAACGCAAAATCAATTACCAACCACTGAATATTTCACGTAAACCACACCCACCACGCTACAAAATTAATAAACAAATACAGCGGCAAGTACACAGAAGCCACGCCCACTACAAATGCACATAGGGTCTCACAGCGAATCACATGGCTGGATTCAGTTCTCTACAGAAGAGCAGAAGTGTACTATTTCTGTAGTGCACCCTCAGTCAGTGTCTCTCTCTCTCTCTCTCGAGTTCAGCTCTCCAAAGCAGTTAATAAAAATAAAATATAAAACACTGAAGCGATGGACAAAGCTGACTGACACACTTCTGAGTAATTATAGCAGCAGCTTCTTTGGAAGAAGGACTGATGGGTGGGCAGAGGAACAGGACGATTTGAACAACTTTAGTTCTAGTGGAAATAAACCCACACTTCTGAAATCGGATGAATATGTGGAAAGGCTGATGTGATCGACACCACAGGCAAAGGTAATTAATACTTTAAGGTAATAAAAGGTAATTAATAAATGATACTCTAAATGAAAGGCTTTTGCTCTACATAAATGAAAACAGTGACGAGTTCATTTCTAGTATTTTAAAGAATCAAGATTTTTTCAGAGTGATAAAAAAAATAATAATAAAAATAATCAAATGTTAATTAAGTTTATCTAAAAACTAAACTTATTATTAAGTCCCAGATATGGTTTAGGCAAATTATAATAAACTTTGCCTGAGGAACCACAGTCCTAAAATGTAAAGGCATTTATAAAGTTAATCATGCTGTCATAGAATTTCTATAACAAATGGATCTAAAATAGTATTTTTTTAATAAATATATATTTGAAGTGAGAATCATTAACCCCCCAATATTTTTTTCTTCTGGAAAAAGTCTTATTTGTTTTATTTCTGCTAGAATAAAAGCAGTTTTTATTTTTTTTAAAAACATTTTAAGGCCAAAATTATTAGCCCTTTTAAACTAGACTTTTCAGATAGTCTACAGAACAAAACCATTGTTATACTATAACTTGCCTAATTACCCTGTCCTGCCTAGTTAACCTAATTAACCTAGTTAAGCCTTTACATGTCACTTAAAGCTGTATAGAAATGTCATGAAAAATATCCAGTAAAATATTTTTTTACTGTTATCATGGCAAAGATAAAATAAATCAGTTATTAGAAATGAGTTTTTATAACTTTTATCTTTAGAAATTTGTTGAAATAAAAACTTCTTTCCATTAAACAGAAATTGGTGGGAAAAAACAGGGGGCAAATAATTCAGGGGGGCTAATAATTCTGACTTCAACTGTATTTATGCATGCATGAACCGCACATGCTTTGTTTTACCAAACAAAAAAGTGGATCTAATTGGATTTGCATTGTTAACATTAAATACAAGTTATATTAACATATATAAAAGTTTTAGTTAGGATACTCTCAAAATCATTCAGCATATATCCTCAGATTTTTAACAAAATTTTGCGCAGAAAGAGCAAAAAATGTTCACAGATTCTGTCTGGTCCTACTAATAAGTTCATGTTATTCCTTCTTGTTGTCCCAACACAAATCGATTATTTGGAACCCAGCATTTTTTACAGTGTACATTAACTTTATGTTTATTTATCAATTTCTTATGATTTACTTGCATTAATCAGATTTTATTATTAATTTAATAAAACAATCGCATAATAGTTTATTTGTTTAAATAAACATTTTTTTAATTATAAATAACAATAACAATAATAATAGTATTATAAATATTAATATAGCTATTGTTATTATGAATAGTATTACTACTTTATTTTATTGACTGACAAATGTATTTACTTCTTTTAATCAATAATTCATGCTTTATCTAATGTTGGATAAATATTAATCTTATTTAATCATTATTATTATATTTAGTGTTATTTATGTACATTTTTATTTATCTGATTGTTTTCCATTAATATTTATTTATTTAATATTATATTGTTTGATTATTTGTTTATTATGAACCCAACAATACTATATATATATATATATATATATAATGACAAAAGTTTGTAGGAAGTTTAAATAAATAAATAAAAATAAAATAAAATAAAATGGCAGTTTGTGGGAAGTTTATCTTAATAGTTTAACAATATTATTAAGAAATTTAAAAACAATCTAAATTAAGGACGTCTTTTATTATCATATTTTTGCAACATATTATAAGTTATTATAACCTTTTTTCTTAATCTAACATAAACCTTAAAGATCGCTGAAAATAATGACACTTTATACTTCCTAACTCTGTTAAAAATATTCTGCATTACTTTAAAAAAATATTAACACAAATTAATTTTCAAAAAACAGAAAGTCACTGGAGTGAAACGCACTTGGTCGCATCACAAGAGCCAGTGCTAAGAAAAGAACCACACACAGGAAGTCAGCGTTAATCGCATATAAAACTTGTTCGCTCGCAGGATGAGTGCTGTGAGCATGATGAATTGAGATAAATCTGAAATATAACAAATGAAAACGACTGTGTTTGGTTTTCTGTCATTAAAAACAAACACAGTTAAAAATCTCCCTCTCCACCCAGGAAACACAGCTGACTGGAAATCTTCAAGAGCATGTGTTTGAACAGAGCTGAAAAGGAGAAATAGGAGGAAGTTGCAGTAAGTTTTTTTATTAAAAATGACATAAACAATGTACTTTAAAGGGGACCTATTATGCAAAAATCACTTCATTAAAGGGTTTTAACACAGTTATGTGGAAATAATGTGCGAATACAGTCATTGTCTGGTGTAATTAACTCTATTTTTTATAATCACACCATAAAAACAATCTACAGATTGACATTCTACCTTTGTACATCTCATCAGGGGGGAAAGTTCTGCCCATCAGTGATCTCTCCCTAATTAGCATAAACAGCCCTGAGTGAGAAGCAGCCGTCCACCATTAGAGTTTTCACACAGTACTAAAGACAATGTGAGTGACTAATAGTTGGGATGCACTGACATGACAGTTCCTGGCAGAAACCAATAAACCCAAGAAAGAGGAAAGCAAGGCCGAAAATCAAAACATCGAAATATTCATTCATTTTCCTTTGGCTCAGTCCCTTTAATTAACAGTGATTATCACAGCAGAATAAACTGCCGACTTATCCAGCATATGCTTTACACAGCAAATACCTTTCCAGCTGCAACCTAGTACTGGGAAACATCTACACTCATTCACAGTCATACACTAAGTTCAATTTAGTTTATTCAATTCACCTATACCGCATGTCATTGGACTGTGTGGGAAACTGGACCAACCCAAGGAAACCCACAATAACACCGGGAGAACATGCAAACTTCACACAGAAATGACAACTGGCCCATCTGGGACTCGAACCAGGAACCTTCTTGCTGTGAGGTGACAGTGCTAACCACTGAGCCACCAGGTCCCCCAACACTGATAAAAATCATGCCAATTCTTAGTACCATAATATGGTTCTGACTGTGTACTAACCTTACTAAAATAAAGGCTTTGCAATTGCATAAATTGTTATTAAAGTTTCAAAGAATAAATCGAGAACAAATTATAAAAAAAAAAAATATTTAGCAAGAATAGGTTATCACTTTTGTGGATGAGGACTTATTACAGTAAAAAGTAGCAAATTTTGCACACTAATGTTATCATGTTTAAATATCATTAAAACTTTATTGTAAAATGATTATTATATACACTACTGGTCAAAAGTGTAGGGTCAGTTATTTTTTTTTTTACATTTTTATTTTTTTAATGAATACTATTCTGTTCATCAAGGTGGCATTTATTAAACCTAAAAAAATGTAATTAATAAATATTTAATAACATTGAAAAAAACCGCTTTCTTCTTGTATGTAGTTTCAAATTAAATTATTATTCCAGTCATTACTGCTTTTATTTTAATAATAATAAAATTATTATTATTATTATTATTATTATTATTATTATTATTATTATTATTATTATTATTATTAATAGTAATAATAATAATAATAATAATAATAATTATTATTATTATTATTATTATTATTATTATTATTATTATTATTATTATTATTAATTAATTATAGAATAATTTCTGAGGGATTATGTGACTTTGAAGACTGGATTAATGAAGCAGAAAATTAATCTTTAAAATCACTGGAATAAATTTTTAAATGATAAACTACTTTTGAACAGATATTTTATAGTGCAATAACATTTCACAATTTTACCATTTTACTGTATTTTTGATTAAATAAATGCATTCTTGGTGAGCAGAAGAAGCTTATTTTAAAACTTTTAAAAATTATACTGACCCAAAACTTTTGACCAGTAGGCTTACATCATGCTGACGATCAAAAACAAAATGTTTTGATTGTCTTTTTGGCAGGGGCGGCCTTAACCAATAAGCGAGGTAAATAGCCACTTAGGACCATGTGGAATTAGGGGTACCCAACCGATGCAAAGACACCTATATTAATCATTTAGCTCTTTTATGAATTTTCTATCACATGTTGTAAAATCTGTCTATTTTTAGATTTAAGACTTTACTGTTATTACTTCTTTTCAAAATCAGGGGCCCCTAAGAATAGTGAAACATTCCTTCTGTACTGTGCATGCAAATATTAAAATCTAATTACAAATATGGCTCATTCTGAAAACGTACTCCTATATACATTTTTGGAGAGCGCCAAATACATCACAGGAGCTACATTTTTTGTACTTTTTGCAAATACACCAGAGGCCACTGTTTACAATTTTTGAGAGCTCAAATTTCTCTCGTGAGTGCCATTCGCGGCTGCTTTTCTTGTGTAAATCCACCAGAGGCAACTGTTGACTGACTGACTGATCGACTGACTCACCCCCTCCTTCCCTAAACCCACCTAGTAGTATTTTCAAAAGCACCGACTGACCCAACCACCCACTTCCCTAAACCCAACCGACAGTTTTAAAAAGCAATCCAGAAAAAGAAAAGCCGTCCTCCTTAATTTTATATTTTGGCTTTTGTTTGAAGTCTTATCTGCTTTTTTTTTGCCACATTTGAACCCTATCATCGTGGTCAACTTCTCTTTGCGTCCGCCGATGTATATGGTGAGCCACTGGACAAACTAGTAACAGAGGAAAAGCCGTCCGTATGGAGGAATACGGTCAGCTGATGACTTTATTTTTTCAATTTATTTTTTTATTTTACAGATAAAGGTTTCACTTAAAATATATTTTAACATGCGGTTTGTTTACAAAAAAAACAACAAAAACACAGAATCTACAGAGAAAAAAAATATCTGTAGAGAAAGAGAGTGTTTTGAGTTTTAATGCTAGGTTTGCATACCTGGGTTTGCTTAGGGCCCCCAAATCAAGTCCGCCCCTGCTTCTGAGTACACGTGAAAATACATGAATGACACTCCTCATAAAGCTTGAGAAGCATACAGTTTCTATGATCAATATAGTTTGTAAAATGTTGCAAATTAAAAAAACAGCATGGGATGAAGATGCCATGAGCGTTGGAGTAGATGAAAAGTAAATATAAAAGTGTAGTCTAATCACAAATATGGCTCATTCGGAAAACGTATATATATATATATATATATATATATATATATATATATATATATATATATATATATATATATATATATATATATATGTGTGTGTGTGTGTGTGTATATATATATATATATATAGAAAGAGAGAGAGAGAGAGAGAGGGAGAGAGAGAGATTGATAGGTAACTAGATAGAAAAGACAGAAATTGATTGATCTGTGCAACAGCCACCGATCAGCTGCAGACACTTTCGGTGTGAAAAGCAAACACCTGATGCTGCTTCTGCTCTACCTATGCACTGTGCACACACTGCTTCAGCTCTGCTTGTGCGTGCATGTGAAGGCATCAGTCTCTGCATCCACCGTGGTCTGGATCAGTTTGCGTGCACGCTGCTATTTTCCACATTCAAGTAGCATAGTGATCTTTATATTATGTTTATATTGATTTATATTTTTATAGTCGCAAAGAAGTGCAGAATAGATCAGAGTAGATGGAACATTGCATACAAGCAGCTTCTGACAAACACGTGCAGGCTGCTGTTTCCAACCCAGGCTCATACTGATTACGGACCCCAATATAGATTTTTGAAGAGAAAAAATACGTCCCAGGAACTACGTTTTTTTACTGTGTTTGTTTTCTCAAATCCACCAGAGGCCACAAAAATCACAAATCACAAATATGGCTGATTAACTGTACGTTGTCTGTGAGCTTACTTTTTATTTAACCCAGGCTCATTCTGAAAATGTACCACTATTTACTTTTCTGGAGAGTACCAAAAACGTCCCAGGAGCTACGTTTTTTGCAGTTTTTGTTTTCACAAATCCATTAGAGACCGCTGTGTATGCATTCCACCAGAAATCCACCAGAGGCCGCTGTCAACTGACTGATTTATTGACTGATTAACCAACTGATCCCCCTGCCCTCCCCTTCTCTAAACCCAACCGCAGTATTTTAAAAAGCAACCCAGCAAAAGAAAAGGGGGCGAGGGGCCTGATTTTTACCACATTTTCAGATTTTACCACATTCTTACCCTGCTATTTAGTTCTTTAGCTACTGGGCAAACAGGTAACAGCGGAAAAGCCATCCATATGGTAAGTAGTAAGTCAGTAGTAGTAAGTAGTCAGCTAGGAAGCAAGAAAAGGAACAGCATCATATCACCCCGTATCATTTATTTTAAAGATGAAATGCAGCCATACATACGTCTGGCTTTATAATTCACAATCTCCGTAAACGTATATAGGGCTACATTTTTAGAATGAGCCTATGTTGGCTGTTTTTGTTTGCGTCATCACAACATACTGTTTCCGTGGCTGAAAAACAAATTTTTGGTGGCTAAATATTCGGTTCATCCCTGGCTAACAGTATTATAAATGTTGAGTTTGTAGCTCTGCCCTTTTTGTAAAGAATTTAAAGTCACCACAGCACAATTTGGATCAAAATCTAAAAGGGGCAGATTCACAGAGTTATAAAAAATTATTTGGGTAGTATTTTGAGGTGAAACTTCACATACAGACTCTGGGGACAGCAGATTTAATTTAATTTTGGTTGATTTAATTTAGATCCTGTGAAAATAGGTCTTTTGTGTAGGGTAAAACTAACAAACAATAAATAAAAATAATAAAATAAAAACAGTCTTTCTAAATACATTCTCCAAAAACTCCCAGAAGATTCCAGATATGCCAGAAATCGTCAGATTTCTGACACAAGATTTAAGTCAGTTCTGATTTATCCACATATTGACCGAAGGAATGTTAGGAGAGGACCACAACAGAAGAATACATTTTCTTGCTAGATACATACAAAAGTGTAACACAGATTCTAGTCCATGACTAAGGTGTAGAGCAGTTTTACAATCCAGAGGATAAATAACTGGAGATAGGGCAAAAGGTTTACCAATAAACTTTTGTACTAATTTGTGGATTTCTTTCCAGTATGTCTTAATCATTTCACAGCCCAAGAATATATGCATCACAGTACGTTGGTTTTGCTTTTAAAACAACATTGAGAACCTTTAGGATATATCTTTTGTTAGATGAACCGGTGTTAAAGAAGTTCTGTAAAAGAGTTTAAAATTTTGCTCATGATTTGATATTGTGGCACCTTTGGTAATTTAAATTCCTATGTCAAAAATCTGATGTAATTCTCAAATCCTCTGTAGTCTTCATGATCGAAAACCAATGTTCTGAATAGCAGGGAATAGGTCCCCTTTAATCTGTTGGTGATGTCATTGAATCTGACAGCTGCCTTTATTTTATTTTATAGATGGATTTCTTACAAAAGAACTTCTGGGCTGTTTTAATCCTAGCCATCATTCTGGTGTCTGTGATCATAGTGATTATTTTCATCTTCATCAACATTTGTCTCCGCAGAAGAGGTAAAATACATCTGACAGCTGTATATACATGGTGAAAAAAATACCTGTAATTCAGTGTTTCTCAACCACATTCCTGGATGACACCAGATCTGCACGTTTTCCATGTCTCCTTAACCAAACACACCTGATTCATATCATCAGCTCATTAGACTGAAAGAACTGTAATGGGTGTGACAGACAAAGGAGACAAAAACATGCAATGTCGGTAGTCATGAATGTGGTTGAGAAACACTGTGTTAATAAATAGGTTCTGTATTTTGTTAAGTTTTTTTTTTTTAACGTTCTTTACAGTTGTGAATTGCTTCATGGGACCTTGATTTCTGCTCTGTATACTTTATATGTTGAAAATCAACTGTGCAGCTTAACACATTGACTTTTATAGACATTTTAGTATGATATACAAAATAAACATGATATATTTTACAATAGAAATAAAGAAGTGAGTCTTTAAAATAACAGAATAAGTGCTAGTAGTTTGTTTTCAGGGCTTTGTACTGTAATTTACAACAACAAATGACTTCAACAATAGTAAAAAATATCAATAAATTCACATTTCAATTTTTCAAACTTCATCAGCTCTTGCACTGTAAAACCCAAAAAGTAAAGATAACTCAAACCATTTGAGGAAACCGATTGCTACAAACCATTTGAGTAAAAAAAAAAATAAATAAATAATCTATTTGAGTACTGTGAACTTTTACTACTTTTAATTTGAAGTAATGAGGTATTTAATTAACTTATTACCTTTAACACTGAGTTCAAAACTCTTTTTTAATGAGTAGAATTAACTTTCAGTCAATTTTGAGTGAGCTACACTCATTTCATTTGATAAAGTTGACTGTTGGGTTTGACAGTGTGGAGGAAAGACAGAGATCCCATAATCCAATTCAAAAACATGAATAAATGGGAGAAAATAAATATTAATCTCAAAATATTGAAAACTGTTAATTTCTAGATAGGTTTTACAGGCTGGTCTGCACACAAGTGTATAAATACAGTTGAAGCCAGAACTATTAGCCCCCTATGAAATTTTTCTTTTTACATTTTTTTCCCCAAATGATGTTTAACAGAGCAAAGAAATTTTCACAGTATGTCTGATAATATTTTTTTCTTCTGGAGTAAGTCTTATTTGTTTTATTTTGGCTAGAATAAAAGCAAGTTTTAATTTTTTAAACACCATTTTAAGGACAAAATTATTAGCCCCTTTCCATAGTCTGCAGAACAAACCATCAGTATACAACAACTTGCCTAATTACCCTAACCTGCCTAGTTAATCTAATTAACCTAGTTAAGCCTTTAACTGCCACTTTAAGCTGTATAGAAGTGTCTTGAAAAATATCCAGTCAAATATTATTTGCTGTCATCATGGCCAAGATAAAATAAATTAATTATTAGAAATGAGTTATTAAAACTATTATGTTTAGAAATGTGTTGAAAAAATCTGTTAAACCGAAAACAAGGAAAAAATAAACAAGGGGGCTAATAATTCAAGGGGCTAATAATTCAAGGGGGGTAATAATTCAAGGGGGCTAATAATTCTGACTTAAACTGTATGTCAAACAATGTGTTTTAATGGCTGTGGCTAACCACAAAGTATATGTGACATCTGAAATTTGTCGTGATACAAAACAGCAGGTCAAAGCGAGTCAGTTTTTCTTTTGCTAAAAACTGAAGTGCAAAACACACTGCTGCAAAAACAACCTTGTGATTTCACATAAATAGATTTAGAAACCTACCAAGAAATAAGCCACAATTATTACCACTTCCTTATATGACTATGGTCTCTGCATTCATTATAACAGATTGACTTATTGTACATACAGTAGCTTCCATCAGTTAATGTATATACTCACACGAACAATGAACAACATATTCATTAGAGTATTTATTTCTTTTTTTATGTTAGTTATTGAACATAAAGTCATTGTCACTGAGGATATCAAGCACAACTTTGGGTTTTAATAACGCATTAGTAAATGTTGAACTATTATTAATAAACGCTTTGTTCACTGTTGTTTTGTTCATTCTTGGTAAATACATTAACTATCATTAACTAATGGAATTATTGTGAGGTGTGATCGACATAAAATAACCCATTTGATACCAGATACAGCTGAAATTAGCCCTCTTGTATATTTTATTTCCCAACTTCTGTTTAATGGAGTGAAGATTTTTTCAACACATTTCTTATCATAATAGTTTTAATTACTCATTTCTAATAACTGATTTATTTTATCTTTGCCATGATGACTAGATAATAGTTCTCTAGATATTTTTCAAGACACTTCTATACAGTTTAAAGTGACATTTAAAGGCTTAACTAGGTTAATTAGGTTAACCAGGCAAGTTAGAGTATTAGACAAATAAAAAAAAAGGGTTAAGGCTTAAAAAGTTTTAAAATGTCTTAAATCTTAAAAGCTAAGTTTTGGGCCTTAAAAAGTCTAAAATTTGCTTAAAAAGTCTTAAATATTATGAAAAAAACAAAAACAAATTTTAGGCCTTAAAAGTCTAAAATCCACTGAAAAAGTCGTAAATCCACTGAAAAAGCTCATTTTTAGGCCTTAAAAAGTCTTAAATTTGCTTAAAAAGTCTTAAATCTACTACAAAATCTAAAATTTAGGCCTTAAAAAGTCTTAAATCCACAGAAAAATCTTAAATCTACTTAAAAAGCTCAAATTTAGGCCTAAAGAAGTCTTAAATCCACTGAAAAATCTAAATCTACAGAAAAAGTTTAATTTTAGGCCTGAAAATGTCTTAAATCTACTGAAAAAGCTCAAAGTTAGGCCTTAAAAAGTCTTAAATCTACTGAAAATTCTAAATATACTGAAAAAGCTCAAATTTAGGCCTTAAGAAGTTGTAAATCCACTGGAAAATCCTCAATCTACTGAAAAAGCTATATTTTAAGCCTTAAAAAGTCTTAAATCTTCTGAAAAAACCAATATTTTAGGCATTAAAAACTCTTAAATCTACCGAAAATTTAATTTTAGGCCTTGAAAAGTCTTTAATCTACTGAAATGTTGTGTTGTAGGTCTTAAATCTTTCTTTAACAGATCTTAATATTCCTTTGTTCATGTATAGCTACCCAATCAGGGGTGCATTTCTGAAAACCCTCGTTAGTCGCAAGTTCCATCGTTACAAACATTGTTCGTTGTTTGGCATTTCCCAAATGCGTCGTTCCATCGAATATTCGCAAACTGGATCGCAAACTTGTACGCTTTCAACTACACCTCTGGAGCTGTAGTTAGAAGCATAGTTCCTGGCTCTGTTCTATTCTCAGTTATCCCCCCATTACCCTATTAGTTTCGAACGTTCCAACATTTAAATCAGGAATGATTTAAAAAAAACATTAAGGTCATCTCTCTTAGGTGTAATTTGCTTTTAAAGTATTTTTACAGTTCAGTTATAGCGATCTTTATATTGACAATTGTACTCACTTTTGCAGTGCACTTTGAAAAAATGAATGACATTGCCGTGGCTCATGACGAAAGCTATAGGTGACCTATTATTTAAAAGCAGAATTTACGTTACATCTACAAAGCTTGTAAAAACAAAAATATATATGTCATACGGCGAGGCAGTGGCGCAGTAGATAGTGCTGTCGCCTCACAGCAAGAAGGTCGCTGGTTCGAACCTCGGCTCAGTTGGCATTTCTTTGTGGAGTTTGCATGTTCTCCCTGCCTTTGCGTGGGTTTCCTCCGGGTGCTCCGGTTTCCCCAACAGTCCAAAGACATGCGGTAAAGGTGAATTGGGTAGGCTAAATTGTCCGTAGTGTATGAGAGTGTGTGTGAATGTGTGTGTGGATATTTCCCAGAGATGGGTTGCGGCTGGAAGGGCATCCGCTGCGTAAAAACTTGCTGGATAAGTTGGCGGTTCATTCCGCTGTGGTGACCCCGGATTAATAAAGGGACTAAGCAGACAAGAAAATGAATGAATGAATATATGTCATATGTTAACGCTTTTAATTTATAGTAGGTTTTTTATTAAGTATCTGTACTGTATATGACATGAGCCTGCTGGTTAGAACTTTTCTGCTGTGGTTTGCATGTGTCAAATTGTAAAAGTAGACTTTGAAACTTTTACATCAATGTTTTCAAAAATTGCGTGAAGGGAGCGCAATTGTAAACATGAAGATTCCTAAAACTGAACTGTAAAAATTCTTTGAAAGCAAATTACACCTAAGAGTGATGACTTTAATAATTTTCTTTTTCAAATTCCTCCTAGATTAAATGTAGGGGAGATAGGGAAGATAACTGGGAATAGAACACAGCCAGGAACTATGTTTCTAATAACAACTCTAGAGGTCTAGTTGCAAGCATACAAGGTTGTGAAAGTTTGTTGGAACAATGGATTTGGTAAATGCCAAATCAACAAACTATGTTTGTAACCATGTAACTTGCGACCTTAGCTGGCTAGCGATGGTTTTTAGAAATCACTCCTGAACTATATTTGTTTATTTAAAATATTTTTATTTTAGGCTGAAGTAATGGACAGCTATGTTTTGTTTTGTTCTTGGTAAGGGTTATAGGTTTTGTGAATGAATATTTTTAAAAATAAATAAACAAATATTCAAACAAAATTATTATTATTGTATTATTACATTTATTAACTCAATTTTAATAGGGCAGCTGAAAATCTTTTCTTACTGGTAAAATTCTTAGCATTTAGCATTTCACTGGAGGGGGAATTTTGTGACTTGATTAATTTTGTTTCTGATTTTAATCCTTGAGTCTTTGTTTCCTCTTTTTTTTTTTTGCAGCTTCTTGGTACAGTACACAAGCAAAAACAAATCATTATGGTCACTCAGACTCAAAACCAGTGTAAGTGGGTTCAGCTGATTTAAGACCACATCCTTTTTCTAAACCAAAAAGTTTTAATTTACTTTTTATATTTTTTACAATAAAGGGACAACCAAGCACATAACAAAGACCTAGGAAATGAAAAACCACCCTTACCTCCAAGAGATCAATTCCTGTCCACAAACTCTGGTGGGTATTTTCATTATTCTTTTATTTTCAGTTCTCCTACACTGACTTTGCTTTTATGAACAATCATATGAATAAAGAAGAAAAATAATAAGTTGGAAAGCAAATACATACAAAGCAATGCCACAGAAGTGCTGATTTCATGCCATGTCATAATTGCATGTATTTTGAGAGGATAACATGATCATACTCCAAACAGTTCATGTGACTAGACACTGAGCTTTCTATGGTAACACTATCAACACACAAACACAATGGTAACATAAATGAATCTGTGGAAGTTAGGTTATGTAGCCGTCATGTCATAAAGGTCATAGTTCTACAACAAAAAAACAGGATGTACATTGTAAAAACTGCTTTATAAATAAGGGAGTAAATCTGTTGCCTTAAAAGTGACAAGTTAACTGTTCTTAAAAATTGTGAGTAACTAAAATGTGAAGAAATGTTGAAGCTTGAAGTCTGTGTGAACCACAAGGTGCTGAGACTTTAACTTCAGTATGTTGATGTACAGTTGGAGTCAGAATTATTAGCCCCCCTGAATTATTCGCCCCCTATTTATTTTTCCCCCAATATCTGTTTAACGGAGAGCAGATTTTTTTCAACACATTTCTAGTTTTATGAAGCATTTCTAATAACTGGTTTATTTTTATCTTTGCCATGATGACAGTAAATATTTGACTTGATATTTTTCAAGACACTTCTATACAGCTTAAAGTGACATTTAAAGGCTTAACTAAGTTAATTAGGTTAGCTAGGCAGGTTAGGGTAATCAGGTAAGTTATTGTATAATGATGGTTTGTTCTGTAGACTATCGAAAAAAATATAGCTTAAAGGGGCTAGTAATATTAACCTTAAAATGTTTTTTTTTTAAATAAAAACTGCTCAGTGCTCTTATTCTAGCTTAAATAAAACAAATAAGACTTTCTCCAGAAGAAAAAATATTATAGGAAATACTGTGAAAAATTCCTTGCTCTGTTAAACATCATTTGGGACTGCATTTCCTTGTTGTAAAGTAATTTTGTTGTAACTCAATTTTTTTTTATAAGTATACACTGTAAAAAATGCAGGGTTCAACACATTATTACTTTATCTTGTCACAACATAAATCGATTAGGTCAACTTTTAGTGTTTTTACACATTTAAATGGACTGAACCAGAAATAATTGTGTTGTTTTAATTCACTTGAAAAAAGTAGTTTGAGCGAATCATTTTTTGTGTAGTTCATTTACTTTAGTATATTAAGGCAACAGGTTACTCACCAGTGCTAGTTTTGACAGCAAATTTGGATTTAGTCCTAGTCCGTTATCTAAAATTCCATTTTATTTTATTCATATTTTAGTCTTCTGAATCATTTTAGTTTTAGTCTAAATTTCATAAGATTTTAGTTGCCTAAATCTACTCTATATGAAGTTGATTCAAATGTGTTTGGTTTAATTGTAATTTAATTAAAATATTGTAAACATTTATTTTTTCGAAATATTTGAACTTAAAAATAAGTATTTTCACAGTGATGGTTTGCGGCTGGAAGGTCAGCCGCTGTGTAAAACATATGCTGGATAAGTTGGCGGTTCATTCCGCTGTGGCGACCCCAGATTAATAAAGGGACTAAGCCAAAAAGAAAATGAATGAATGAATATAAAATATTAAAATATGGAATATATTTTTAGATTCATTCATTCATTTTCTTTTCGGCATAGTCCCTTTATTAATCAGTTAATCCATGCCCATAGCAAACCCATAGGTGTGCTATGGACGTGCTTTTTCTCTAAGCGACCTGACTGGTAAAATTTATTTCTTTACTCCTAAATAATGTAAAGTAGATCATGATACGCCCTATTACATGGTCTAAGTATATATTTTTACAATCTGGCCAAATACTACATTTGACATATGGCCCAAGTCTTGTGTGCCGCCTCAAAGACGGTGCCACCTCTGCCAAACCCGGACCATGTTTGGCCCACATGCTGTATGCCAGTGTCAAATAAATGCCTGCTGTGCCAGTTTTCTGCCAAA